GAGTTTCACGAGTTCCTTTTCGGTGAAGAGGACCAAAGTAAATGGAGTCTTCCATCTACTTTACGCATCTCTTGCATCCTTTCATCGCTGACGTGTGCCCCTTCAAAAAAAATTAAGGGGAAAGATGTGTGACTCTTTTCATATGCATGTGACTACTAGAGCTAAAGACGATGAAAAAAAAAGCAAAAAGTAAACAAAAAAGGACGCAAAAAACAGAAAAAGACGAGCGACAACGATGCGAAACCTTATTTACCATCAGAAACTACAATTCTGCTCATGCGAATAGCTCATTAGCTTATATATAACTCTCATCATGTCTTTGCAGAAATGAGTTTGTCAGAACATTGCGCATTAAAGATCAATTCCCTAGTTTTCTCATTCAGCCTGACGTCCAATGTTGATTTGCGCATCCTTTTAACAGCCACTCATGATAGAAAGCAAGAGTTTTTAGGGTAAAAACCAGAATGCACACGCGTTTAAAAATTGTTAAAGTCTTGAAAGTACTTGGTATATATATGTACAGTCGATATCTGATTGATTTCTTAGAAATATAAAAGAGTTTTGACTATTACAAGAATAATATCTTAATTCTTATATATGGTACTAAAAAGTGTGTATACTTTTTAATATTGAACAATACAAGATACAGAAAAACACAAGAGAAAGGTCTTTTGAAAGGTCTTTTAAAAAGGGTTGCTTTTATTTTATATGATTTAGTAAAGGCTTTTAGAAGAAAATCACGCTGTCAACATATCTATTTTACACGCTTGATAGCCATTTTCTTTCTTGAGCCTCGATCTCTCCAAGCTGTTTGAACGTCGGGGTTTATTATATTTTGCAGGAAAGCACTTTGGTTTAGGTTACCGTATGGAAATTATTCGCAGACCTTCAAAGCACAAAGATCCAAGAGAACACATATACACACTGAATGGATCTAATATTTCTGTAATAACATTCACAGATCTTCAGAATATAATTATTTAAAAGCATTTTAAAAATAAAAAGGGTTTGTGTATGCGATGGTCCGAATAAACAGGTCTATTTTTTATGAGCTTCGAGATTGTATTGTGTGTTCATTGAAGGTTATAATAGTGTTCGGATCGCTCAAAGGTTAGTTAAATTGGTTTATATGATATAAATGCACATTGAATATTATTGAATTTACCGGTGAAATGAAAAGTGTAATAAAAAAAAGGGCATTTTGATCAAAATGGCAAATCAAATCTTGAAATTCAGCTATAACTCTATATCGGTTAAGTCAAGCTACTTTTTATATATAAGCAACCTGGTGGAGTACATTATGATCCATCATTCAGATGTTGTTTGACATTGATTGCATAAATACCAGACAAAATATCTCATTTTTTCACTCTAAAAAAAACAATTTACTAATAAGATTTTGAATATTTACACCATATAAGCATATTTGATCCAAACGTTCTCTCAGGGTATTCACCTAAAAAAATCGGATATTTTTGTTTTTTTTTGCTACCAAGTAAAATTGTTGAGCAAATTGATCCATGATCTCTAGTGTTTATTTGACTAGCAACAGACCAATATTCGTGGAGATATCAAGAAATGTAAAAATGGCAATTTCGATATTTACACCATGAGACGATGTTTATTAAATCCTCGATAGTAAAGGTAGCTCACAAATCCTGAAAGTAATTTTGTTGAACAAAATTGCCCCATTAATTTGGCAGAACAAATGGACATTTAAGTATAGGGAATTACGTCAAGAGGTCCAAACGAATATAAAATTATTCCTTTAATTCTTTTGATTCAATTTTACTTTAGAAATAGAAACTAAATGTCTTCCACCTAAAGTGTTTTCCCAAAAAACCAATAAGTTGTTGGCCGTTATTGAGTGGCCTTATATGACTTTATACAAATAAAATAAATAAATAAGCCAGCACAGTGCACGAGACTATTAAAAAAGAAGGAAACATATATATCATATTGATTCAATTAATTATGTACAAGAACATAAAACCAAGGGCTTGAGTATGGCTTGGTCTCTTGTGGTTTCTGTTCTTTTTCTCTAAAAAAAAAGGTATAATTTTATTCAATTTTACAAGCAAAGGATGATCTTTTGATTGATAGAGAAAGAGACTGCTAATGAAGAGAGTGTCTACAAGCTTCTTATAAATTCGTATTATATATATATTCAAATCATACTCTCGTGTTATCTTTACAGAATTAATACCAAAACCAAGGAGTCAAAGGAGAGGGGGTTAAATGGACATACACATACATTTCATATTGTAAAAAATAAGGGTAATTTATATAAAGTAGCTTTGGATTTGTAAAGCTTACATAAATTCAATGCTCAGCTATACAGACTGATGCAAACAATTGAGAACAATAGACATGTTTTAAGAGGTATTCAATAAGATAAATGTATTTATTGGTAGTTGAAACAAAAAGAACCACTGCAAAAGTGTTTGTGGCTCTTTTTTTTATTGTATTTTATTTTAAGAGTTTTTCTCTAGAGAGCTTTATATGTTGCGATAGTCTTTTTTTATAAGGATGTATGTACAAGGAAAATGGAATGCTTTTGTTTGATGAACTTGACTATTATACAATTTTTTGTGTTTTACAGGGTGTATATACAGGGTGTTGAAATCAAGATCGATTTAAGATGAGCGATAGGCAGCTGGACTAATGCGGACTGTGACTGAAGGATGATCAAAGATAAGTGAATCCAGGGCCATAGATTTTTCAGATACTGGGCAAGATTTTGAAAAGTGCTCGTCATCAGAAAGGTCAGAAAGATAGGAGTCATTAGAGATCGTCGATGAAGATGAGATCAAAGAAGGTGCGGCTGTAGTTTGGACTTTTTTGCAGCTAAAAGCTTTCTTGACTGAAGCGAGCCCTTTGATACATTGTCCCATTGATGATGTAAATGTGGAGACACGGCTAGCTGTGTTGGTAGTTGAGGATTGGCGGCGCTGGCACTTTGAGATGATACGCTTTTGGATAGAGAGGATCTGCATTGTAGAGTGTGGGTTATGAGGTGTAAAGGTAAAGAAAGGCTTGGTAGGTAAGATGTGGTTGAGAGAATATGTAATAAAAAGGAAAGAAGTGCAAAAATGTCAAACCTTTATATACTATTTCAAAAGGCCCGTGCTCTTTGGGTATCAGTGGAGATTTACATGCTTCTTCTTCACTTTATTGCCATTTTTAGGACAAAGACAAGGGGCCATCGTATCTGATGTTTGGCATCTATCGGAAAATACAGCCAAAAATCCTGATCCACAAAACCACAGCCAAAAATAATAATCAATGATCCATGATCTGTAATCCATAATTTCCCCCTATCGAGAATCGAAAATCAAAGACACACTTGTCTCCTGTATTAATTGATTCACGTCACCTTAATTATTCTCTATGAAGATCTTGATTTATAGGTTCCGAGTCTTTGGTATCTGCCAAGCTTACTACTTTATATGTAAATTAAATATTAATATAAAAATATCTATTACCAGGCCGGCATGCACAATACAACCGTTTTTCTCTCTCTAACTTTGAGTTGTCGTATCAAAGCTGTTACAATTACATAAAAAGAGTTCTTTATTTAATTTGAAGCTTTTTTTCTGTCTATTTGGACATATTCAATAGCGCACATTATATAAAAGAAGCAAAGTAAAATAGAGTCGTTCTTGTAGGGCATGTAATTAAGAACTAGAGCATAAACAGAATAATATAAATATAAATATAAATATTTTCAATCGAGACTGTATACCAATACCACTTGTACTGCAAATGCTTTAGACTATCATCTGATAAGAATTAATATTCCTAAACTCTCTCAAAGAATATTACTAATGATACAGTAATATATCATTCGGTCTTCCATATATCATTAGTAGTCTGCTTTCTATTCACAAGCCTTACAATTATATATTTTCACTCGGTAGCCAAATATTACCCAGGAATAAGAGCTTCTAGAAACAAACAAACCAAAACAAAATACGGTAATTTCCATTTATTCATTTATATTATATTGTCTCGATTTTATGAAATCATTGTTATACTCCATTATAACAAATATTAACTTTAGGTTGCAAGCATAGGCATATATTGTCATAAGTCAAAAGTAGTCTCTTTTTTTCTTTTTATAAGGAATAAGAGACGATGTTTCCCTCTCACTGTCACTCTTTGAGAGCCAGCTATTTAACAAATAATTGTTGAACACTTTGTGTGTGTCTAATTCACTGATTTATTGCCCTTGTATAAGTATCACACAGACCAGCTTGGAATAAAAGTACATAATTGCTATCGGGTTTTTTGACAATTTTTTTTTTTTGAAAGAACGTCAATCGTCACTTGAACTACTTTAACGGAGTTGAGTTTCACGAGTTTCTTTTCGGTGAAGAGGACCAAAGTAAATGGAGTCTTCCATCTACTTTACGCATCTCTTGCATCCTTTCATCGCTGACGTGTGCCCCTTCAAAAAAAATTAAGGGGAAAGAGGTGTGACTCTTTTCATATGCATGTGACTACTAGAGCTAAAGACGATGAAAAAAAAAGCAAAAAGTAAACAAAAAAGGACGCAAAAAACAGAAAAAGACGAGCGACAACGATGCGAAACCTTATTTACCATCAGAAACTACAATTCTGCTCATGCGAATAGCTCATTAGCTTATATATAACTCTCATCATGTCTTTGCAGAAATGAGTTTGTCAGAACATTGCGCATTAAAGATCAATTCCCTAGTTTTCTCATTCAGCCTGACGTCCAATGTTGATTTGCGCATCCTTTTAACAGCCACTCATGATAGAAAGCAAGAGTTTTTAGGGTAAAAACCAGAATGCACACGCGTTTAAAAATTGTTAAAGTCTTGAAAGTACTTGGTATATATATGTACAGTCGATATCTGATTGATTTCTTAGAAATATAAAAGAGTTTTGACTATTACAAGAATAATATCTTAATTCTTATATATGGTACTAAAAAGTGTGTATACTTTTTAATATTGAACAATACAAGATACAGAAAAACACAAGAGAAAGGTCTTTTGAAAGGTCTTTTAAAAAGGGTTGCTTTTATTTTATATGATTTAGTAAAGGCTTTTAGAAGAAAATCACGCTGTCAACATATCTATTTTACACGCTTGATAGCCATTTTCTTTCTTGAGCCTCGATCTCTCCAAGCTGTTTGAACGTCGGGGTTTATTATATTTTGCAGGAAAGCACTTTGGTTTAGATTAAAGTATATAAATCGTCCTGTCGAAACAAGTTTCTCGGGACAATTAAGTGAGTCAATCGGGTCCGAACAGGAACAGAGAAGTCACCCTCCCTTCCTTACCCATTTTGACCTGCTCGCTTATGATCGAGGTACAATACTTTGAATCATTGCACTCTTTTATATTAATTTCTTGAAAAAATGTTTCAGAATTACTTTTCGCTCAATAAAATATAAGATGATTACAGCACTTCTCTGTTCCTGTTCGGTTAGTCCTCCGGACTAACATCACAATATCGATGGAGATACCGATAAATGTAAAAATGACAATATCGATATTTAAACTCTTAAATGATGTCTTTAAATGTTGGACATTACAATGTATATCCAAAAAGATTATTCACACCGTACGAACAGGCAGGTTTTGTAGCCATCTAGCCCAGAGCGTTATTAAGATAATATCAAGCTATACTTTATCTGCAATAAAAAAAAGAAGGACAAGAAAACACTTAATGTGAAAGACAATAGGAAGGTGACTGTGGGGCTTCAATTGGACTAACCATGGAACGAAAGAGAAAATGATGGTAGTCGAAAGTCAGGTATTATCCAAAATTCGGGCAAGGTTAATGGAGATTAAGAAGAGCGAGAGAAAGTAACCAGAAGAAATATAATTAATATGAATAAAAAAATTATATTGTAGTAACTAAAGATATTTCTATCTAATGCTGCCTAACGCTCAGAGTGACAAAAGCTGCAACTATATTGGTGATAAAGGATACATCATGAAATACGTGCTCGAAATGAGTTTCCCGGACGTCACTTAAGGTGCACCCTAAAACAACGTATGTGGATCCATTAGTGGTATAGACTTTGAGAGTCTGTGGAACAGAGGAGAAGAAGCTAGTAAAACTGAAGAGAATCATGGTCTTTTAAGCCCCCTTCCCCTCCCCCTTTCCTCTCCGGTTTGCGATTTGACGTGTTTGAGAGAAGTTGTTGAAGAGATTACATGTCTATCAACTTATCAATCTATATACTTTTGCTGGTTTCTTCTTCTTTCGTTCTCAAAATGTGCAAAATCCTTTTGAATCGGACGAGAAATAGCAAGACCACATTCAAATTTAGGACAAATTAATGTAGGTTCTATATAGTTGTAAGCTCAAAAGTAGAGAGAAGTCAGACCAACACGCTCCAACTCTATTAAGAATAGCCATAGTTACAAGGATTCCATAATGATAATAATGAGAAACAATAAACGGTTCCGCGCAAAGAGAAAAAATCCTTTATTCGTGAAAGGGAAAACCCCAAGTATATGAATCTCATCAAAAACAGGAATCATCATAATGCAGAGAATGTGAAATGTAGGTATATATGAAGGCACATTTATAAGGCCTTCAAACTGTAGCCAAAGTGGCTAGAAGTGTTATATAGCTCAGGTTGAATATGAGCTACGCGTCTAAAGCTGAGCAAAAAAAAGGTTGCCACATCTCTAGTGAAAAGGAGAGTGATAATGGGTGTTAATGGAACTGCATAATAAAAGCTATGGACACCAGGGGGAGCAAGATTTTATTGTACATGAGTGGATAAAAGAGATGGTGCAATTGTATGGAAATGTAACAAGAAGTTGAAGTATATATATATATTGAATGGAGATGAGGGCTAAGGATTGAACTTTGAGGTATGTTTGCAGATATTGCGCATTAAAAAGTAAAAATGACATGCTCCTCAGTATGGTACCATTCTATAAGTAATTTCAAGATTTGACATAAAAAATAAAATAAATAAAAATAATATCAAGTGGTGACAAAACAAAAAAAAATATGCTCCGTAGAGCGTTCCATCTCAGAAGTTTAGTGTCATCCTTGTGCAGGGGCCATGCTAATCTTCTCTGTATCGTTCCAATTTTAATATGTGACAGAGGTGCAAGCACTTGTCGATTAAAATAAATGTCCCAAAACCCTTGATATATGCATTTATTTCCCGCTTTATAAAAGTTGTGGGTTTTTTAATATTTTCAGAAAATTTTTGGTATTATAAACATTATATACAGAAAAGTAAATAGCTAGGGTTGGTAAAATTACTATGCTTTATATTTCTATTTTACTTTTACTGCACTCTTGTTGGTGAAAGTACTTTTAGATGTTTTTTGATTTCAAATATCAAAAGTGTACATCAGTATTATTATAATATATCTTTTTAACAAAAATAAAAACAAAACAAAGCTCACTATAAGATATGACCAAAAGAGCAGCGTGCTTTTTGGGAAAGTGGCGTTGTTTTATATTGGACTTGATTGCTCACACATAGTTAAGCCACTTTGATAATAAGTATATGAGCAGAATATATATAATATTATATAAAGGAATTGAATTAAAGAAAAGAATCAAATGAGTGCAACCCAAGAATAAGAAGAAAAATACAAATAATAATAAGATTAATAATAAGAGGTCATTTCTTTCTTTCTTAATCTATCCATCTATCTCTGTATATACGTGTGTGAAGGGGAAGTAAAGGTTATAATGTGTATAGGCTTTTGTAGGTGGTTGTTTGTCAGCAATAACGGATGGGTGGCACCATTATTTATCTCTATCGCTCCCCTTTTCTTTTGGTTTTGGTTTTCTTTAAAGGCAGGAAGGGGAGATATAAGCTGTTCATTATATATATATATATATTAATAGCTTAATAGCCTGTCTTTTTTCTTTCTAATTCCCCCAAGTATTGTTTTGCCATGCTACACTTGTTCTTCTTGCATTAGAGCTGTTGCTGTGTTTCATCATTGGCATCTGCATGGGATTTCCCATCATCACAGGCATCATCATATTAGGAGAATACATTTGAGATTGGTGAAGAGGTGGCATCATCGAATAAGAATTGAGCATCGGTGTAGACATGCTGGCCACAGGCATTGGTGCATTCTGCAACATTTGAGATCGTCTACGAGCATCAGTACTACGAGAGTCAGTTGGGTCATAACCTGTAGAACGCTGAGGGGCAGCAAGTGTACGACTCTTGCGAGCATCACCACTAGAGCCAAGAATACGACTGGATCGACTGTTGCTGACAACAGGTTCTGGTTTTCTCGAGCGTCTAGCACTACTGCTAATACCAGCAGCCGCATCATGCTGTTCTTGCAAGAGATTATTGCTTGACACACTGCGACGATTTGTGGGTCGACCGAAAGAAGATTGTTGAAGAAGGTCTTGAGTAGATAACCGTCTCGATTGTTGGAAATTAGGATATATTGGTGGTGGTAGTTGCTGTAATTGTAATTGTTGTTGTTGTTGCTGTTGCTGGTATGATTGATATTGTTGGTATTGTTGAATCTGAGCCATTTGATTCAATTTGATCTGTTGCTGCTGTTGCTGTTGATAATAGATGGCATCGGCTGTCTGTGCTGTCATGCGATGAGCCGATTTTGCATATTGATGTATGGGTGAACCTCTAGGCTCTTCGTCTCCATCATGGCCACCAGATCCTTGGCTGCTACTATGAGCAGGTGAGGCTGATCGATCAACCGAGGGAACGCTGCTAATGTCATCTGCTTCTGCAAGAGTCTTTTGCCAATAATCAGATGAAGTAGGCTTGTCAAAGTAGGAGGACGAATGACTGGTTGTTGTACTCCTTGCATCTGTGGGGTGAGATTGTAATTGGATGATCGGAAGCTGGGGTGTGTTTGTCCGGCTAGAAGGGCGCACGTTGTCTATAGTAACATAAGAACGTGTCAGATATAATATTTATATGTGCCTAAAACATCGACCCATCCAATCCAGCCAACCGGTGTTTTGCCACTTTTATCAAGCACGTGTTGTACTTACCATGTTCATCATCATCTGTTTCTTCCTTTTCTTCTTCTTCGTCTTCTTCTTCGTCGTCGTCACTGACTGCAGGAAGTGCATTTTTGAGTCTAGATTTTGAGTGAATCTGTGACTGGATTGGTTTCTTGACAACCTTGTTGGATTTCTTGTTGCTATCTTCATCTTCATCATCTTCACTTTCTTCTACACTTTCATCGTCATCCTCTTCATCATCGCTGGGTACATAGGAACGACCTTTTCCTTGATCAATTTAATTAATTTAATAAAATTAAAAGCTTATCTTTTAATAATAATACGCATACCTAAACACACACAAACATGTGTATATATTTACCTGTGATTGTGGGAAGTGGTCGTCGGCTGTTGTCGTGAGGCATGGCGGACATGCCGCTTTGACGTGCCGATATTGGTTCCTGAGGAGGTCTTGTCACACGAGGCACTGGGCTGTTCTTGCGAGGATCATTTCGATTATTATATTGAGAGCGATATTGTTGATTTTGATTTTGTTGATATTGTTGTTGATGGTGTTGTTGTTGCTGATATTGCTGTTGATTACTTCTCGCACGATCAGGATGGGGTCTGTGTTTCTGAGGACCGCCTAGGATAGTATTTCTCATGTTTGAATCAATGTGGGATTGATGGAAAATCACACTATTGGTCCATGGTTCGCTTTCGTCTTCACCAGCGTCGGGTGTCTTGATTGCTTTAGCGAGTGCCAGTCTGGATAGACTGACGTTTATATTATCGACAGACATGAGATTATGGGGAGGTTAATAAATCAATAAAGAGAGAATAATACTAGTAATAAAAATATATATAAATGTAAGATATCGAGTGAATTAACGACTGAATGAGTGAATAAGCAAGATAAAGAGAAGGAAAGAGAAAGAGAGAAAGAGACGCTAATGAGATTTTATGGGTATTATATATATATATATATCTGTATGCACCTGCGAATCGGCCAATGAAAGCAAAAGAAGAAAAATAAATAACAGACAATTGTGTATAGATAGCTTCAATTGTTGTACAATTAAGCTCTTTCTGGATATGTTCTTTTTCTGCACTACTTTCACTTGCTTTACTATCCAAAGCTTAGGTTGTACCGATCTTAGATCCTATGTTCTTTTTATTTGTTCTTTAGATAGATACATACTTCTTGTATTCAAATGGACCTTTACATATACAGTTTAGTTTTGTCTCAAGAGACTATCATACATCATTTCAATGGACTATAATGAAATAGCTTCTTTTCTCTTCGCTGTTTTTTTTTTAAAAATAATAATAATTAAATGAGTGATTGATTTCTAGTGTCTTTTGTCTTTTCTTTTTGTCAATCAACCAATCAACCAATCAGCCAATCAATTGATCAAACCAAGTCAATGTGTGAGAATATTATGGTGGCTGCTCCATTGATATCAATCGGGATTGACATATTATTCTCTCTGTTTTATTGCATTGCATTGCATTGTATTGTATATTATTATGATTATTTTGCCATCCACCCATGGTTGTATGGCATGTTATATTTTCTAACAATATATCAATGTCAACGAGTTTACTATCCACACCTCCGCTTTCATCTCAACTCTGAACAGGTCCAGATGTCAATACATAGCTATCTGAGGTTTTTCTTTCTTGAATGTAATAATTATAATAGTATATTCTGGTTTAGTCTTTGTAAATCATAAAGAATTGACTTTTCTGGGTACGTTGCTTAGAGATAGTTTTATATATATATTTTATTTCAATTAAAACTTATTTATATTATATATTCAGTAGTTTAACAAGTGTACAAGATATAAAAAATAAAAAAAATAGCAAGACACGGATAAGCTTCGGCCCAAGCAAAAAATACATAGAGAATAAATGGACCGGATTATCCATGTTTGTTAGGCGGACCGACCGTAAGCTAAAATAAAATAAAAAAAACAATTTTTAAAAAAAAGAGAGATAGAGAGAAAGAGATAAATTGGTGGCTTGATATACACTGAGTACCAAGCAAATATGTCCTGATAATTTGATAATAATAACTAGCAGTAGCAGTGGCAGTAACAGTAATAACAATGGTAATTGTAATTTTAATGGTAGTGGTGATGATAACGATACCGATAATAATATGATTTTATCCTATATTATATACATATACATACATTTGCTTTATGGCCAATGTGTATTATGTACGTCATTATTCCCACTCTGTAGATTCTAAGCATCAATCGTTTGAGACGTTTAGACATTTTGTGTGTGAGCAAATGACAGAAATATGGTAGAATGCTTTATTTAGCTAGCTGGCAAGCTACTTGTATGTAGCACAAGATTCTCAACGGACACAAATTGAAATTGAAACAATCGTTGGACTTGAACTTTACTTTCTATTTTATTTTATTTTATTATATCTGTGTGCGCGAAGAGACATGGTGAATTCAAAAGACATAAAGAGAGGAATAAAAAAAAGAAAAGACTTATAGAAATTGACCTATGGTTTAACCTTTAATTTGATAGCAGAATATGCTATTGATAGACCTTTTCCTTTTTCTTTCTAAATAAGTACATAGGACTTAATGCTACATACATAATTTTTCTTTTGCCATGGGAACAGGACATGTATTTGTTCGCGTGGCAAGAAGGGGAGGATACTGACTTTTATTTTAAAAGAAAGATATTAAAAAGAGATTAGGGTCCACCTTAGTTCCCAAGAATATATTTACACAACATGGTAGGGACATAATTTAGCTATGTGCCTGTATATCTTGTATATTGTGTTTGTAATGTAAGAAGAATAAGAAATAATTCTTGCCTTAATGCAATAGCGATATCTATATTGCACTTTATACCCTTCTTCTTTTATTAGATATATTGACATATGAATACCGGAACATGTACTTTAACCGAACAATAAGAATAATGTATATATGCCAAGAAATAGACCTGGTTGTACACCTGTATTGTGGGATAAGGGAGTTACTTATCCGGTCTAGATCACGTGGCACAGACCAATTATATAAGTAATATATTATAATAATCATTGTACCACACTATATAACTACAAACACTATACACACAAAATATTAAATACATAACTAAAGGATCTTCTTTTCAATAAACCTCTTTTTTTTTAAGCTGAACAATACCTGCATACAAACGCACACACGCACACACATATATATATAAACTCTTTACAGTTGTTAATTTCTTTATTGACTGAAATCAGAGCAAAAAATAACAAAGCATAATTCTTATTTAGCAAAATACATATATAAGAAGCTTAAATACATAAAATCAACATTAATATAAAACCAAAAGAAAACCAAAAAAAAGAAAGAAAGAAAGAAAGAGTATTTGTATTTATATTTATATTAATTATGCTATTTTTTAGACTTGGCCTTGAGTTTACTGGCCTTGATAAACTTATCCTTTTTTACAGACACCTCAGGTTCCTCTTCTTCAGAAACATCGTCACCAAAAGTGAGTACTTCACCTTCATCTTCTTCCTCTCCAAACAATGTCTCTGACTGTTCACCAATCTCTTCTTGTTTGTACACCTTTTTGATAGGTGCACCAGTAGCCTGGAAAAGAATTGGATGAGATGTAGAATTGTAGCTATAATTTTTGTGTTTATATAAAGAAAGAAAGAAAGAAAGAAAGAAAAAAAAACATTAGATATTAGCCAAATTACCATTACCATTATCATTATCATTATCATTATCATTATCATAATCATAATCAGGCTTATTTTGATATATAGTTAACAAACTTACTATTTGTTGAAATTTGTTTTAATCTTTGGTGTGATTGTTGCAAAAGGCTTCTTTTTACTCAGTGACAATTCGTTCAACATGTCAAGGCATTCACGATCCAAATGATATTTATCCATCAAATCTGAAGCTTTTTCAAAATCCTCCTAAAGAAACCCATAATAAACAATAATAATATGAAAAAATAAATCATAAAAATTCCAACAAAACAAAAACAAAAATACTTACGTCTTTCAGAGCAGTAAAAATACGGTCTGTAAGTATAGGAATATAATTCTCCCGTATTTCTCCTCTGTCAGCCAAGCCAGTTGAATTAATACGCATCTGAAGCTCCTTTAGATTTCTGTAACTCTTTAAAGCCTTGGAGTTTTGTCCCAACCATCTAGTAAAAATCGATATATATATATGGTCAATATTATTATTATTTTTTAAAAATAATAATTTGATGTTCTTACTTTGGAAATTCCAATCGACCTCCCATCAAAGATCCTCTCATAAAAGAAGCAGGTCGTACACAGGAAGCAATTGAATGGATTGGCATAAGAGAATAATTCTGAGTAGATCTATTGTACACAAGAACATCAATATTTGTACGCATGTGTATAGGAATCAGTGCACATAAAGCACATCAAATTTTACTTACCCATGAATTACTGCATCAACCACATCACCTTCTGACATGGCCTCAGAAGCCTTTGCAAGTAGTCCTAGCAGTAGCTTCTGCTCTTCTTCGGATCCAGGGTTATTTAAAGCCATTACCTTTTCGGGTTTGGCTTTAAGATAGTTTTCCTTTATAGTTTTTTTTTAGAGAAAAAAAAGATAAATAAATAAATGAATGAATGAATTATATTATATTATATTACATGTATCAAATTTAAACTTACAAAAATCATGAGATGGGCAAGGTTGTAATCATGAAAGTACACATTCGACTTTTCTTGTAGGGAAGTACTTCTCCAATTAGAGGCTGACAAGAGAGCAGGAGGGATATCAAACAATCCCATCTGAGAATATTTTTCGTTGCTTTTTCCACTACAAATATAAGTAAGTATCAAAGTTTCTCCTTTTGCTTTTCTTTTTAAAAAATAATAAATCAAACTTACACTGCTTTAGCTTGATCATAATCCATATCTTGTTTTCCTAGGCGATATGTGGACAGGATATTGATGATTTGTCGAATATCATTCCGAGTAGATGCTACAAGAGCATCAATTGCATTTGGAGAGATATTTAATCCCTCTCTAATAATATTTTTCAGAAAAAAGAAGCGTACCGTTAGTATTATATATATATATATAAAGGGAAAAAAGTTTGAAACATTTTGAAACATATTGGTTAACTGTGTAAAATTATGGTGTATACTTTACTTTGTTGCAATCTCTGTAATTCTGTTTCTTATGCTTGTAGCAGGTGTACTATAGTTTTTGTATGCGTGAGATTCTTGTTATTTTTTTTTCTTTTTTAGTCTAATGATTATATTATTATTATCATCAGCAGTTTACCGTCTAAACTTGGCATCACAGCAGACACGCAGCAAAGGTTGTACTTTGGCTGATCTGTCATCATTACAAATGCAAATAATAGGAACCTAGAAAATAAGAGTTTTAATGGTTTGCATATATATATTAGTTAACCTTGTTATTTTTACCTTTGTCTTTTTGATAAGAGATGCCAGTTCGACTGCTCCACCACGATCACCAGCAGACATACCATCAACTTCGTCCATAATAATGGCAATTTTTTTACCAGATCCTGGTAATGTTTTTGGTGCTGCTTTTGTCTATAGTAATATCAATCAATAATTATTATTTTATAAATAAAGGTGCTTGTTTTTCTTTCTTGATTTACCTTTGCGTTATTAGAATGGTAATACTCTGTTACAGAGTGGTTCTTTACTGTTTCTGTAATTTGGTCCTATAAAAATAAGCAAACAAATGAGAAAATAATAATACTAATAATAATGCTTAATAATACTAATACTTACTTCCAACATCTTCTTACTTCTGGCATCACTGGCATTAAACTCGAGTGGATGGTAGCCACATTCTTCTGCAATCACATGCGCAGCCGTAGTCTTTCCGATACCAGGTGGTCCACTGATAAGAATGGCTCGATAACCTGACCAGCCAGAATCCTTGATAGGAAAGCCTTTTGATTTATTTTCTTGCCTAAACAATGAAACACACATTCGATAGCCGTGATAATAGTTAATCAACTCTTCTTGAAAGCTAAATCTTTCTTTGGCCTTTCATCTATTTTTTTAAAGATATATGAAAACACTTTACCATTCCTTGAGCCACTTGGTAATGTTTAGAATCTGTGTCTTGTTACCCAATATATCCTTTATAGCTCTTGGGCGATATTTAACAGTCCAGAGATCATTAGTTTCATTGGAAGGAATAGGTTCCCTAAAGATGATTGCACCCATACATACACATTAATAAAATGATAAATTATTATTATCACTATTTGATTTACTTACATTCTAGAGCTTGATGATGTGGCTTTGTCCTTTCCTTTTGACTGAGATGCTGTGGGCTGTGGATTGGGTCCATTACCATAATTTCCCTTTGCGCCTTCTGTTTTGAGAAGATTGTAAAAGGCATCTTCATCAAGAATAGTGACCCCGAGACTCTTGGCCTTTTCAGCCTTCGAAGGTCCAAAATCGCGTCCCATAACCAGGAAAGTTGTTCTTCCACTGACACTACCAGTAACTCGACTGATATAATACAAAGTAATTATTATTATTATCATTATTGTTAAGTAAAGAAAATAAAAACACATGCATATATTTACTAAACTTACCCTCCATATCGCTTGATAATATCTCCAGTATCATTACGAGTCAAGGACTCTAGTTCTCCAGTCAGTACAAATGTGTAGCCTTCAAAACAATTGGGCCGAGCTTCTGGTACTTCCCGAGTACCCAATGCCTTTGGTTGCTCTCGTCGCATCATATTAAAAAAACTATATATATATTGTAAATATCACATAAATAAAAAAAGGAAAAGGAAAAGTATTGATATTTATATGTACTTATTAGATTAGATTGGATTTCTTTTATTTTTAAATAAAATCTAGTTTTTTTTTTCTTACTTACCCAGACTTCTTTGCAGGAGGCTCTGTTTCCTCTTTAACTTTTGCGGGTGTTTTCTTAGCCTTTTTCTGCTTAGGAGCAGCAGTATCATCATCACCATCATCCAAGAAATCGTCATCATCATCGTCTTCCTTTTCATTTCTCTTTCGGCTAGCCTTTGGTGTTGTCTTTTGTTTTGGGGCTGCAGTAACCTTTTCCTGTTCTTTTTTAATGCTTGGGAATTTAACTGAATTTCTTGTCTTCTTCTTGGGTACAACAATTTCTTCCTCTTTATATTCATCCTCATATTCATCCTCATCTTCATCCTCATCTTTGTGATTTTCGTTATCTTCAAAATCATCATCATCGTCATCCTCAATAATCTGTTTTCGCTTTCTGGTGGCCTTTTGTTTTTTGACTGGTTGTTGTTCTTCATCTTCATCTTCTTGTACTATGTCCATAGCCTCCGGCTCAGGAACTTCTGATGCTGGTTGGCGGGTAGGTAAAGTAGATGTTTTTTCTTTTTTAATGTCCTGGGCAGGCGCAGGTGTAGGAGCAGGTGTAGGTACGGGTTTAGGATCATTATTTTTCTTTCCAAAATGATCAAACAGGGTACGTTGTTTCGGCGCAGCATTTTTTCTAAGCAGTTGTTGTTGTTGTGGTTTTCATGGTTTTTGTACGTATGAATATAAAGAGCACCATTGACAGAGGAGAGTTATAGATGTTACTCATATGTTTTTTTTTACTAATATTTTATCCCAATAAGAAGAAGGGAAAAAAAAGGTTGCTTACGGCTCACTTGAGACTTCTTTAGTAGTTGCTACTTTACGGGATTTTCGTAAACCAGCTGCAGGACCTAACTCTGTAGATAGACCACCGGTGCTTTACGAAAGAAAAATGAAACCAAACCAAATCAAATCAAATCAACAAAGATAGATAAATAAACTGTCAAAAATAAATAAATCAAGAATTTTTTTTATACAGTGATAAAGTAACATTGATAATGATAATAATGATATACTCACGCGTCACTTTTTGTTTTGCTCACTATAGCAAGCATAAGGAGTAGTATAAGAAGTAGAAATAATACAAAAATACATGCTGTGCTTAATGTTGTGCTTTTCTTTATACATGTATTTTGTGCATGTGGATGTGTGTGATACTTTAATGAGGATCATGTATTGAAATTACCTTTTCCTAAAGTGTTTTTGGGTTTTCTGGTAGACATTGCTTTAGTTGACTAGGTAAAGCATTCATTAAGAGATTGTAATTTGGATTAGAATTCTTCTTTAGTTTGTGCTTACATTTGCACTGTCTTATATAAATATATAGATTTCAGCCAAAAAGAAAAGAGAATAAAATAAGAGTTATATAAATAAAAATAATAATAATAATTTTATTTATTTATTTATTTATTTAGTGGTAAAGAGTATGTGCTTGTTATAAAGTTTGAAAGGAAGAAAGAAAATTTTAGTGAAATGGCCAAGGTAAAATGACAGCTTGAATTGATAGCTTATAAAGTTTTACTTTCTATTATTTTTCTTATCTTTAAAGAAAATACAGGCACACACACACACACACACACACACACATATATATATATATATAATTATTCTTTTGCTCTCTGTCTTTAATTCATTCGCATTTTCTTCTGTCAATTGAGTTGAGTTGAGCTGAGTTAATTTTATCACAAGAAAGTCTCAATTGCTCTTGTAAATTGTAAATTGTCAATTGAATCCAATCACTGTCACAAAGGTCAAGCATCAATCAAACAAACAAACAAATAGCACGCTCTTTTTCTTGTCTTCTTGTCTTCTTGATTTTTACATATAAAGCTTTGGATCAATTTGAAAGCCTTGGTTGTCATAATGCATGGTAAATTACATCCTTAGTCTGATGATATGGTATGCTATAATAATTTCTAAAAAAAAACATGTATGTAAATGGTGAGAATGGTACATTGATATACATATAGTACTTGCATAGAACATAAAAATAAAGAACTGTTAACAGTCCATAAGATTTAGAAAACGTTATTGTACAGACAGACTTTTGGAAGAGACTCTAATAATTCAGAACATCTTCTTTTTGGTTGGGCTTGGTACAACAACAATAATGGTTTCCTATTTAAAGAACTCTGTTTAAGTTTTATATTGCATGAATAAAAACCGCACATGTATTGCACAGATATGAACCCTTTGGCCTTACTCTTTTTATTCCAGAATATTCACTGACTTGCTACAACTGACCAACTTAAGTATATATACATATATACTTTAAAAAAAAAGAACAAATCACATTTGTGCATTTTTAAGATTAGTCTGAGCCCGTTACCATTGCTTTCTCGGATATAGATATATTAATTTATACTTTAATGTACATGCACACACACACATACAAAAGAGGCTAGGGTCTGGTAAGACAATAGAGAGAATGGAGGGCGAAACCTGGATCTTAAATGCTTGTGTGTAGCCATGGTGTACACATCTTGTACTCTTCTTCCTTTTTCTTTGTACAAGATAAAATCAAGTAACAAAAAATAAAAGCGCTATTATTATTTTCTGTAACAATAAGATTATTTATTTTATTTTTTCCTATAATTCAATAATCGACTATTCGGCTATATATTCAGCGTATCCTGCGCAAGTTACTTAATATATACATATATAACTCACATACTTACAAGCATACAAGCATATATATATGTATATATTACTTGCCAAGCTCTGTACTCTTTGTATTAATTAAAACAAGTCCAAAACAAAAAGAAAGTCGGTATACAAAGTTAAAATGGATATTTGGCGTCAATGTGCTATATTTTTAAGGCGAATCTTGTTCTTGCCCAAGTGATACCTGAGATTTAAAGTCGATAGGAAACGTAAACCAGTTAGTACATCTTGTACCTTCATTGTAAAGTCAGTAAATAGATTTGTGTGTGTGTGTCTGTGAATGTCTGTGGGCTGTAAGTTTTTATGCATATATATGTACAAAGTTTTTCTCTTCTTCTTCTTCCTATTTTGGTTGTAGGCTTTCAAAGAAAGTATAAAATAAACAAGATCGTGAGCATTTTCCTTTTTTTTATTCTTTAACTTGTTCTTGACTTAAGTTTCTTGTAACTTCAAATAACATGCCTGATTTTTCACTATCATCTTTGCGCAACGAGAACATCAATTTGGCGGTTGTCGCAGCCGCTGCCACAGCTGCTGTTGCTGCCACATTGACTGCAACTGCCTTTTATTCATTCTCTGAAACAAAGGATCCCAACCTAAAGAACTTGAAAGAAATACCAGAGCCAAAGGAAAAATACCCTTTTATTGGTGAGTCTACAAAGTCACAATTGGATAACTCCAAAAAAAGCTTTTAACTAAAAAAAAACCATAATTATAGGCCATTTGATATCATTGGGAAATCGGCCAGGAAAACAAGTTACTAAATGGCACAACGAGCTTGGTAAGTATATTGAATAACTCATTTTTCAGTACACTAATATATATATATATAAAAATAACAAAAATAACAATCTACCAATAGGTCCTATATTTAAGCTTAGAATGGGTGCACAAACATGGATTATGGTCAGTGATCCTTATCTTGCTCACGAGCTATTTTTTACTCGCGGAAGTCTCGCGTCCTCACGTCCTGCACATGGATACCTCAGAGACATATACTCTGCTGGAGGATGGTATTTAAAACTCTAATTTTATATATGTCATTAATGCTACTGTGAACATACTCTAATAAACAATCATTATTTTTTCTGAAAATAATCATAAAGCGGCCTTACCTTTACAGTAACCTCAAAGAAGTGGCATAGATCTAGATCAGCAGGTAAATAAAGTAGTAGTAATAGTAGTAGCATTAGCTCCCACTGTGCTCATAATTTATATCTAGCCATGGCTCTGTTGGCCCCAAAGTCTGTGGATCCTCTTGGTCAAGATATGATCGAAGAGGCTGACAAGTTGACAAAGTCGCTCCTGGAAGACACTGCAAAGCATGGATCCGTGTCTCCGTCAGATGGGCTTTATTTGGTTTCCTACAATGTTATCATGACTGTCTGCTTTGGATTGCGGACTGAGTCATCCGATGATCCAGATTTCAGATCCATGGTTCACTACATTCACCAGCACGAAATATACGGCGGTGTCTCTGGAGATGTAGGGTCTTTCTTGCCCATCTTGTCACTGGCGGCTTATATCTCTGGAACCAAAAAGAAACAAATCGATTTTGTAAAAAAAAACAGAGACGAAGTGTTTTCAAAACTGATGGAAAAAGGAATCAATGGTGACAAGGATTGCTTTGTGAAGTCACTTCACGAAGATAAGGCCAAGTATGGATTAGAACATCAAGATATCCTGGTACTCTTGAGTAAGTTTCTTTTTTCTTCTTCTTTTTATTAGATAGATATCTTTATTAATATTATTGGTTTTGTGTTTAGGTGATATTATTGTTGCAGGTACAGATACAACGGCTCTGACAACAACATGGCTATTGGCAATTATAGCCAACCGCCCAGACATTCAAAGAAAAATTCAGGCAGAGATTGATGACTTTGTTGCAAAGAATGGACGGCTGCCAATGTACTCTGATCGAGAAAGCTTCCCATACCTTGCCGCAACTCAAAAGGAAGGCTTGAGACTCCGCCCGATCACTGAATTCGGTGTTCCACATGAAGCCAGTGAAGATAGTAAGGCAGTAAAGACTGCAAACAAAGATCAAAAGAATACTTATTATCTATAACATGCAATTCTATCAAGTTGACTTGCGCGGATACCATGTTCCCAAAAATTCCATACTTATCGGAAGCATGGACGCAATGCACACAAACCCATTACGGTATGCCCGACCTGAAGAGTTTATTCCTGAACGCTTCTTGAGCTATCCTGAGAGTATGGCAACTTTGGCAAGTGGATCTATTAAGAAACGCGACCAGTACAACTTTGGCTGGGGGAGGTAAAATCGAACTTTTAGTTAAGAAATTAATAAAATTTAGATTAAATAGAAATTAAAGTGGGGGAAAGTTGTCTGGATAATTTGGACCCTTTTTTTTTGTTCTAACATGTCTTGTTCTCTCATGATGATTCCTTTAGACGGTTGTGTCCTGGAATTTACATGGCAAGTTCTTATGTAGTATATTCTTCTATATAATAAATCGACTCTTTAAATAACCACCCTGTATAAATATGTTTACTTTACTTTTTACATAATAGGCCGAGACAGAGATGTTTTATAATATGACAAGAATATTTCACAGATGCAACATGGAGCCTCCTCTTGATGTAGATGGAAAACCAATTATAGTGGACATTGATGCATTTATTGACCACGGTATTACTTCCTCACCAGTACCATACAAGATGCGTTTTGTTCCTCGAAGTGAAGCCTTATTCTAATAGCATTCGGCACAGATATATTGAATTAATAATGCCCTCAAGGTTGTAGGATATACTTTTATATCATTATACCTATATACATATCCATATATATAAATAAATACATGCATACATATATACATACATACTAAACAAGGTTAACAAATTAATGTCTCCTATCATTTCATATGGACTACTAAAGAATACCTGAGAGACGGCTTATACTTTGCTTGCATAAATTAATTACTACCATTAAACACTATAAAAAAAATACAAGATAGGACAATATAATTACTTTTATATATATATATATATCAAAATACATTGTTAAGAAATAGAATATCCATATAAAAGTCTAGTTATTGTATAGTAATATGCCGACATTTGTTTTTGGGATGACATTGATACACAGGCATGTGAAAAAGAACTATTGCATCAAATGAAGAAAGGTAGATATTTCAAATCTAATTATTTTACTATTTCGAAAACCTCTTGTGATATTACTTCTTCGTTATCCTCCTCCTCCCTTTCCTACCTTTGTTTTTAGTTTATTTTTCACTTCTGTACAACCTCGTGCCTGGGGTAAACTGCACAAATAATATTATATTTTATGGTATTTCTCTTTGTAAAATATGACATTCGTTAAAATAATCGCTTTACTTATCTATAGGTAATATCACCAGCCCAATCTTAACTCTATATCCAAATGAAGCCTAAGACCATTGTTGCTGTAGAACCAAAAACATCTTTGACAATTACTCAAACTTATTTATAACCGAGACAACATTGGTATTGAGTAAGCTGAATGTATAGTTAGACTATTTTATGGGAGATTTAAATTATACTACATAGCCTGGAACAGCTGGTTTGTCAGTGGCATTTACACCTATAAAAAGTATAAAATTCGATTTCTTTAGTAGTATTTATTTGCTAATTGCTTTCACTTTTTTATTAATATACATCTATTGTTAGTATCTAGATTTCTTACAAAGAAAAAGTCGAGAATATGTGTCATGCTTCACACCATAATCACCAAATATATAATAACCATAACTTACATTCCCTTGGGAAATCATCTTAATTTTAAACTATTGGTATAACTTCATTTCAATAAAGCTCATCCTGAAATTCAAAATCCCGCCACATGCTGTGATGAGATCCAGGCAATATGCACGTATACTTTCTGCTTTACATTCTGCTCTTCTTTTACTTATTGCTTAATATTGGCGCAAAACGTATGGACTTATATCCTAGTAGCCGACGGGCCTTTTTTTCGGTATACTTGTGCAAGCAAAATAAAATATAATTCTTTTTTCTACCTTTGAACAAAAAGCGCACAGACCAGCTTAGAGTAACCTACAAATCGCCGTTATTGAAACTTGTACTCAACCTTTAGAGTTATTACTACACCGATCAAGATCAAACACTTTATTACTTCGTTGCTTCTTTGCTTTATTTTGCAAAACCGCTTTCATAAGTACTTTGAGTAAATATTATTAGCTGCTCCTTCTGTCGTAGAACAGTTACACAAACTTAGTAAAAAAAGAAACATACAGCTATATCACGTTTGCTCTGACGTGGACATCTAGGACTGACAAAAAGCGCAGTCCTAATCTTAAATCGCAGATGAAAACTTTTTTGTTACATATAGAACCCCTCCAACGCGTGTCGTTTGTTTTCTCCTTGAGCAACAACAGTCCCGGTTTCATAGTGAGGCGTCTCTTGCGGCCGTTGCAGGGAGATTCTTCCATGCTACAAGCATCGGAAAGTGAAAGTTGTTACTCGCCAGCTCAGTTAATTCTGAGAAGTCGTGGGGCATGGTCTCTTTTCTTTTGGAAAGACTACTGTGTACATCGCATCGCCAATGTGGAATCATGATGCTGGGGGGAGGGAGGTCTAACCTGTGGTGAGATGTGCTGGCTCTTCACTGCAAACCTGACTGAACTCTTTAACGGCTGACGGTGAAGCTACTGGTAGTCGAATGAGCTGGACCTTATCACCTAGTGGTAAGTTCTCTGGCGAGTTCGCACCCACATTACTCGGTGACGAGATGTGGGGCTGGATGAACGGGTGCTTTCCGTTGGTTTGCCACCATTCCAGCACCTCCTTCGCTACCAAGTCAGGTTTACGTCCTGAAGGAGATTGAGCCGCGTAATGCGGGGACAAAGAACTTGGTGTCATGCTTTTTATTCTTTTACTCTTGTAAAGGAACATTAAGTGAAATTCAATCAAATCAAATAGTTTCTTTATATATAGCTTTAAACAAATAAATAAAGTCATTTTTAACTAGTATCGTCTCCAATAAAAAAAACACGCTTTTAAACTTTTTTTTTGCTTGCTTGAAGAGCTCAATGTTGTAATTAGGAAAGCTCATTTATAAGAGAAATTTAATCCAACTGAATAAATCTAAAAAGAAATAAAATAATATTTGTATATTATAACGTGGTACTTTTAACCGTGTTTAACTTTAGATGCTGTTTTTGTCTATAAAGTATATAAATTGTAGAATAATGTTTGATGATGCTGTTTCCGTGAATTGTATAGTATTGAATTTGGCTAATCCGATGGAGATTTTAAAGAGGATGCATTGGAATGAGAGAAAGAAAAAGAGAGAAAGAGAGAAAAAACAAAAAAAAAAAACGAAGAGAAATGAGAGATGAGAAGACATATAGGCATGCGTGTTTAGAAGAGAAATAGAAAAGTCATCTAGATTAAATACTCAAGTAAGGTCCTCATTGTGTTTACACAGACTGTGCACAGATAAGTCAATTTGAATGTATTTATGGAACAAGAATCATTATCTACGAGCCTTTTTGTACGTTGAATATCAGTGACTACTTGGTACTTTCCGTTCGCTATTGAATATACATACATACATACAAGCACAATCATATTCACGGTGCAAAAGATCATTTGAAATCAAATAAGTGTAAATAAGTATTGACAGTTGCAAAATACATCTTTCAATATCCTGTATCAGAATAGCTCGCCAAATATGCACAGGTCGTTTTTATATTACAGTTCTTAAATACAAGTTATATATGATTTTAGAGTATTGTTCTACTTTTATTCTTAGGTCGCATTAAAAGTGTATCCATAGTTACATATTTTGATAAAATGCCAGAACTTGTTTTAGAGCATTTATATAATTGCCACCGCATCAACTCTGTTCATAAACAATAATAAACTATCGGTATTTACCAAGAACAAATTATTTTTTGTTTAATTATAATGTAATTGGCTTTATAGATGTCATTTCTAAACAAAAATGTTCAACCAATTTAAATGTTATTATTATAATATTTTGATACCTCTTTAGACACACGTTTGAGCAAAAACTTATATACTCTTAGCCTAGCTATAAAGATTTTGAGAGAACAAATGTCTACCAAGAAAAGACAAACAGTTATTCTAGATTGATATAGAAAAGTCTTGTACATCTTGTACATCTTGTACGTCTTGTCATGTTTGAATTATTTACTAAAAAGATATCTCTGAAAGTGTTTCAACCTGTTTAAAAATCATTTGCTCTAAACTGGTAAATAGACACACATAAATAAACGTATGAGAGAAATAAAACCAAGGAAAAAAAATAATGAAATAAAAAACAAGCTGAATCTTCCATTTTTTTTGTTAAAAAAATATCATCCTTGTTTGTGTATGTATAATAATATAAAGAGAGAGAGAGAACGATGCAAATGATAATGTTGGAAAAGAAAAAAGATATATAAAGAGTTAAAAGAGAAATATGAACCAAAGAAGTATAGAAGCAAAGAAGCTTATTATTATCCTTTTCTTTATATCTCTTTTCTTGTTTGCTTGGCTACTTTACGCTTTTGTTATTACTTGACAACCAAGAGTACAAGCCTGAAGACGATTTGCCTTTTGCATTACGTTTTGCGCCATTCTCAAGTTTTAAAAGTGCCTACAAATATTATATTAATGAAAAGAATCATTATTATTTTGGGAATTTTGAAAAAAAAGAAAAGAAAATTGAAACAGTATATTATGTTATATGTATGTATTTATGTATGTACGTATATCTTTATATTTACCTGTGTTCGTTTTTGCATGGATTCAATAATGTAAGCCTGTTGTTTCACAAGCTCATTCTTAAGTTTGTATTCCCGAGAACCCTTTGGATTCAACCAAGACAAAAGCTGCTGGATCTAGATTTAAAATCAATCACATAAAAATATGAATATGAATATTGCTATTAAAAGTATACAACAGTTTGTTTTAGCTTACTTCTTCTGGTTCAGAATAGTATTTCCACCAGCTACTTGTCAGGGTACTCGGATCGATCTCTTGGTTTTTTAAAGTCTCCATTTGTTTCTCAAGCCATTCTCTCTCTTGCTCAAATCCCTGGGCTTTCATCAGTTCAAGTATGAACCACTGACCACCACCTCTTCCCCAGGGCTGCTCAGGTAAATCTGTGCGCACGTCACGCTCCATCATTATCTGAATATCAACAAACGTTGGGCTCTGGACATAGAGGCGCCCGGATCCGTAGGTATTGCTAGTACCCACGTTGTCTAGATAAATATATTGGTTGTAGAACCTATCTCGTCCCAATGGGCGAATTCTCAGTGTCATGTATTTGCGCATGTCTTTTTCCAATTGTTCCTCCTGTATCAAAATGTGGATGTAGATATAGATGTGAATATTTTCTCTCATTATCTCTTATTTTATTTTGCTTTGCTTTTAATATATATATATATAAATTACCATACCTTTTTATGCAGCGCCTTTTCTTCTTCATCTAGCTTCCTTCTTTCTTCAGCTTTTAATCGCAACTCTTGGTTCCTTGCCTTGGTTGCTTCCCGCTGTTTTTCATATTGCTTTTTACGCAGTGCCTCCATCTCTGCCCGCTTTTTCTGCTTTTGTTTAAGCTTTTCTTGCCTTGACAAATGTCTCCTTGCGCGCTTTTTGGGACCTTGAGAAGGTCTGATGTTTTTAAAGTTATTAAATTAGACCACATACAATATATATATAATTCTAATATTCTTGCAACTTACGTGTCACTATCTGCAGATTCACCTGAACCTTCTTCATCAGAATTACTGTCAAAGTCATCTCCAGACTCGCTATTTTCAGAATTGGATTCGCCATCGTCATCATCATCGTCTGAAGATTCCTGCTCTTCTTTGTCTGCTTGGTCTCGGCGATCGAGTTCTGCACGTCGAAATGCTCTATTTTGTGTGTATGTGTATGTATGTATTGAGTAAAGAATTAAATACGTAAAATACACAACAGATAACCAACATTTTGTATACTCACAATAACTTGACTTCTTTGTTCATTTCAACCTTTTGTCTCCTGAATTCAGTCAATTGCTCTTGACATTCTTCCATATATTCTCTAATTAATATATAGAATAGATGGTTAGAGATCAGTTTTATATTCTATTCATCTATTCTTTTTCTCTTTCTTTTCTTAACGAGTTTTTTTTTAAGATAATAATAATTATAATATAAAGGCTTACTTTATCAAGGTAGACTCATTCACAACATCCACCAAGAATTTAAGGACTGTCAATTTGTGCTTGATGCTTAGGGAAGGATACTGTTTCTCACGTTCGGATGCTGTCGAATTGTTGCGGGGTACCAGGTGTCGCAGAATTTGATCAAGTTGAGGGATCATGTCTGGAGTGGCAATCTCATTGAGACAGCCAATCAGAACAGACTCCCATCCCTTGCGCTCATTGGTTTGGCGAATCTCCTTTTTATCCCATCCCTGGCCGATCTTGAGTTGCTCAGGATCCCGCCATCCACGTTCCACTTGTTGTCTTCGTAGACGTGAAAATGCAGTTGGTTTTCCAGCGTCACCCTTCCGACTGTCACCTTTTGTTGATTCACCTTTTACTTTTTTACTTTTATTACTCTTATTACCATTACTATCATCGTAGTCATCATCTTCATTTTCATCGTCTTCGTTATTATCATCGTCTTCTTCGTTGTCGTACTTGTCTCTGTCATTTCCCTTGGGTTTGGGGTTGGTTTGTTTTTGATGATCGTCTTCTTCACTTTCGTTTTCTTCGTCCTCAAGCGCCTCGAGATAATCTTCAACAGCCTCACCACTGGCAATTTCATTTGCAATATCTTCCTTTCGTTCACGAATGATTACATTGAGCAAGCATGCGTTACATTCGATCATGACGGTTGATTTTACAGAATTGGATTGGATCAAGGCACGTTCAAAGTCATCTACACTAAAGGGCGATAACTGGAGAGGGTCTGAGAAGACATTGAGGAAGCTCCAGAGAATCAAGGATTGTTCGATAAATTCGGTTGGCAAGACTGATTCAATGCGAGGGATTGGGCGCGCGGGTCTTCCTCCGCTTGGGTAAGGGATCCTTTTTATTTGTTGTTGTTGTTGCTGCTGCTGCTGCTGGTGGCCGTATAATCCATCATTTTCTTCATTTTTAAGGTTTGTGGGTGTCATGTCGACAAGAACCCAATTGAGATTCGGATCTTTGCGATAGATTGGTAGGTCGAGATCCTCGACCGGGTATTTGACAGCTGCCTGCTTGCGTCTCTCTTCACGCTGACGATCTTTTTCTTCTTTGATCCGTGCCTTTTGCAACAGCGTGTCTTCTTTGCGGGCTCTCTTCTCGGCTTCCTTTTCGTCTGTGGTTTTTGCAGCCTTTCTCTTTCGGATCTTGGCGTAGACGAGGTCTTGGGCTTCTTGAAGATGAGATGGCAACGATGTGTCGAGTTTGTAGTGGTTTGCAACGTTTGGCTATCACAGAAAAAAAATGTATATATATATATATATATATATTGATTCATTTGGAAATTTATCAATTGATTTATATGTGTGCGTGTGTTTGCGTAGGTTACCCAGGAAATTATAATTATATGATTATTATTGTTGTTATAAACACACACATATATATGTATATATTACACAGACACGTGCGTTTTTGTGTGCGTTTTTTATGAATGTATGTAGTGTATATATGTGTATGTATTTTCGAGAGAGAGAGAGAGAGAGAGTGTGTGTGTGTGTGTGTATATATAGACATATATGAATAGAAAAGACCAGGTTCCTTTTAGGTTGAGTAAAACAAGGAATAAAAGGTATTTTCTTCTTCTTCTTCTTCTTTAAAAATAAAATAAAAAATAAAATATTATTATCTTTTGCTACCTTTATAAGCCATGGTGCGCCAAGGTAACTGTCTTTGTGAGTGCATTCTCGAATGAATCTTTGGATGACTGGGCGACAAAATGAACGTTGATCTCTCCTACAAAATCAAATATAATATAATATATATATATATATATTTTAAATATTATCTTGAAAAAATAATAGTAAAATAATTTAAATCTATATATTACTTTATCTCATCTGAATCAACTAGACGGAAGAAATTTTCAATTGGTTCTTCGTCTTGGTTGACTAATTGAATTCTATATTGAAGAGATGGTGGCGGTGGAAGTGGAGGTGATGGTGACGGTGATGGTGATTGTGATTGTGATTGTGATTGTAGTTGTGGTTGTGGTTGTGGTTGTGGTATTTGTTGCAGGGTTTCAGGTTCGCTTTGATCGTCAATCATAATTTCGTCTTCATCAATTGTCGACTGTGATTCTTCTGGATGGAGAAAAGCATCAGGGAATCGAAGGCGTCCATTTGGTTGGCGAGGAATTCCATCATCTTCTGATTCAGTTGTCGAATTACTATTACTATTATTATTACTATTACTGTGATTGTTATTATTATTGATGCTGTTGCTGTTGCTGTTGCTGATGTTGATGTTGGATTTGGATTTGGGTCTTGGTTTGCTCTTGGTTTTGGTCTTTATTTTACTGTTGTTGTTAATGCTGTGGATGCTGTGCTTGCTGTTGATGTTATTATCTGATTGACGTCTAATGGTTTGGTTATTTGGTTTGATAGATTTTTGATTGGCGAGAGACTCTATACTGGATTCATTCGAAATCTTCTCAATGATTTTCGCAAGGTAGCTACAATTGATAATTAGGAATACGTAAATGAATAAATATTTATCAAGATGTACTTTATTATTATTACTATTATTTTGAATATATAATAATAAGAAAAAGGTTTTAACTTACATGTCTTCTCCTAAAGCCCAATGAACAACTTCACCAACTTCGAAATGTGTTTTAAAGTAATTGTAGATATCTTCTACCAAAGCATCCAATCGAATGGTTTCTATATACAGATATATACATATAAATTTGTGTATACAAACATTAATACAATGAATATACAAAATCACATAAAAATCACATATATTTTTATTAAGCAAAATAGATAAATAATTGTAATTATAATTGTAATTGCAATCGTCATCGTCATCGTATAGAAACAGTAAGAAAATAAACTTACGGAACTGAACCCGATCAAGCATGTGTTTCCGAAGAGTAATGCAAAACCTGAATTCTGCCCGATTGTCATCTCCACTTTCACTTTCTAATGCTTGTTCATAAGTGAGGTTTTGACGCCCAGTGGCTTCACATTCCCAGATCGGTTGTTGGTAAAGAGCTAGTCGATTGATGTATGATCTATGTATACATTTGTTGTTGTTGTAATAATTCAATAATTTTTTTTAAAGAAAAAGAAAGAAAAGAATAAGAAGTTTAAGGTAATAATAAATTGTGTCCTGTGTAATGATTTTCAATGTTTGATGCCCAATGTACAATAAAGAAAGAAAGTTTATATTTCTTTACTGTCTGTCTGCAAGTGTGTGTATGTGTATGTGTGTGCAGCATAATATATATATATATTATTATTTTTTAAAAAAAAGGATACTCGTAACTTGTAAAGACTTCATTCGTAAACCGTAGGTACCAAACTTCCTTTCTTTTCTTCTTTGGGTCGTAGGATGTTGGTGCTATGGGAGCTACACGTTTGTTGTTCAAGAGTGGCATTTACCGCAAGAAATGATCTATAAGGTAGTGAAGTCGCGTTTGTAAGGAACGTGACAAGAATAGGTGAGAGGAGAGGAGAGGAGAGGGTTGGTTGGTTTGGTATGAAAATACAAAATGAAAAAAATAATGTGTAAAAGAGAGGTGTGGTTGGTTGGCTGGTGTGTGTTATTTTTTTTTTAATTATAAAAAAAAGGTGTTTTAGTAGGTAGTGCGTGTTGTGTTGTTGTTTTTTGTGTGCTTGTAGACAAATATTTTAAAAATAAATAAAATAAAATAAATAAAATAAAAAATAAAAAATAAAAATAAAATAATTATATAATTTTTTTTCTATTTTAGAAAAGCGAGCAATTTAATGGTCAATTTCAATTAAGAAAAGAAGAAAAAAAGAAGGTTTTTTTTTGTGCGAGCGTATATGTGTGTATATTGGAGAAGTTGAGAGGCAGATATAGAGGTAAGAGATAGATGGGGGGGGGAAGGGGGAAAATTTGGTAGGAAAGAGTGTGGATTCAAATGCAGTGGAAATCCAGTGCAGTGATAATGAAAGATATAAAGATGTATAGAGATATAGAGAGAGGGGGGGGGGTAAGGAAGTAAGAAATAGACTTAAAACCAGTAAGAAGGATTCCCACCCACAAATGAAATCGGCATTTAAATATCCAACTAAATAGCCACCCTCACACACATAGACACACTAATTTGTATATATTATGTATCTATATAAAAAGATTTATTTAGTTTCTTATTTTAAGTTCCAAAAAAAGAAAGAAAAAAAGTGACTATGCAATTTTGTTTTTTTAATTTTTTAAGCTATATTTAATTAATAGACTACTGTGTGTAAGTAAGTAAGAGTGAGTGAGTGAGTGAGTGAGTGAGTGAGTGAGTGAGTGAGTATGTAATTTTTATATGTATATATATGTATATATGTATATAAATTATATTATATTATATAAATTATCCAAGATATATTTACTCATTCTTTCACTTTGTTCTTCTTATTATTATTTTAGTATAATCGACAATCCATGTTACGATCAAAGTCTTTTGTTAAACGTACTCGCAAGGGTAATGTTGTAAAGGTCGTCAAAGAACATTACCTTCGTGACGACATTAGCTGTTCTTCGGCTGCCTGTTCCGAATGTGAACAAACGCAACCAGTATTATCTCCTGAACCACGTTCAACAAGCACGATCAAAGCACATTACCTCATTCCAGATACCAATGTGTTTATGAACCAAGTAAATATCCTCTAATTAATCTATTACTATTTTTTTTAAAAAAATAAATAAAAATAAAAAGAACGATATACAAATTACAAATATGTATCTATTTATTTATTCGTGTGTGTATTATGTGTGTTTGTATATGATAGCTTGACATTATGGAGCATCCATCGATCAAGAATGTCGTTGTCCTCCAGACTGTCAAAGAAGAACTCCGTCACCTTAGTTTGCCAGTCTACAACCGAGTTACTAGTATCTTGGCTGATAAAAACAAGCGTTTTTACATGTTTGCAAATGAACATCACCGGTACAGCTTCTTCTTTCTTTTATATATAAATATATAGATATGTAATTAATCAATTAACCTTCTAGATGTATATAAATATATAATCTTTACTCACATTAATCATTAGTGATACCTATGTCGAAAAACTTAAGGATGAGTCACCAAACGATAGAAATGACAGAGGTAAATATATCATTATAATCATATGTGTCCAAGGATTTTTTTTCTTCTTCTTATATAATCAATTGTTTCAAATATTGATATTTTACATAATCTAATAATAAATCAATTTCCTTGCCTGCTTTTCTATTATACTTTATCTTATATTATTCTATCTTTCCTTTTTGATCATTAAAAGCTATCCGTGTTTCTACAAAGTGGTACTCTGATCACTTGAAAAGATGTGCTCCAGGCCACCCCATCGAAGCAGTCATGCTTAGTGATGACCGTGCTAATCGTGAAAAGGCTGCTGCTACTGGAATCAAGGCTATCTCTGGTAAGGAAAATAACAGTACTTTTATTTATTTTAAAAGTTATTTACTAATCTTTCTTTTATTTTTGACATTTCTATCTATATATTATAGTAAGAGATTATGTCAAGACTTTACAGGATGTACCTGAACTGTTGGATATGTTGTCTACATCCAATGAGTCTGCCAAAGATAAGGACGACAAGATTGTCTATGATGAGGTTTGTACAAAACCACCTTTTCTTTTTATCAATTAATTGATTGGATAGTCAGTTAGTCATTTAGTTAGTTAATTGGTTAATTGGTTGGTTATTTTCTCTAGTATTACATATATATATATATACGTATGTTTGTGTGGAACTAAATTCTCTCTATCTGTATATATATATATATTTTAGCACTTGTCAAGCCCACAAATTACCAATGGTATCAAAAAGGGAACCTTTATTCAAGGAAACCTAAATATCAGTCAACACAATATTCTTGAAGTAAGCAAATATATTAATATATATGTATATCTTTTTTTTATAAAAAAAAACAAACAAATTAATGATATTAATTATATTCTATTACTCCTCTTACTACAAAACACCGTAATATAGGCTACAATTATGGGTAATATCGAAGGCGAAACCCGTACAATTTATATCATCGGACGTAAGAACATGAACCGCAGTATCCAAGGTGATATTGTGGCTGTCCAATTGCTGCCAAAGAGTGAATGGAAAAAACACGCATCGGTTGTTGTGGAAGACGAAGAAGACGAAGAAAAGATGCAGGGAGAAGAAGATGTGGAGGCGATTAAAAAGAAAGACGCAATGGATGTAGACAGCGAAGGTGAAGGTGAACCGACAGCAAAGGTTGTTGGTTTGATTAGAAAGAAGTGGAGACCTTATTGTGGATATATCGTCAAGAAATCTGTTCACACCAAGCCTGGCTCAAATTCTGCAGAAACTGTCGTGTTCCGGCCAATTGATCGCCGGATACCTACAATCAGAATTCGTACTTCTCAAGCACACACGCTGTTGGGTAACCGTATTGTGGTCTCTATTGATTCTTGGGCTGCAAACAACATGCAAGTATATAACAATAATATTATATTATATTATATTATATTTATTAATGCATATCATATTTTTATATAGGTATCCAACTGGTCACTTTGTAAAGACATTGGGATCATCCGGAGATAGAGAGACAGAAACTGAGGTTTTGTTATTGGAACACGACGTACCTTATCTTGAGTTCTCCAAGCGTGTACTCGAGGATCTTCCTGACGAGGGTGAAGACTGGGTTGTGACTGAAAAGCATGTTCGCGACGAAAACAGACGTGATCTTCGTGATCTGAATATTTGCAGTATTGATCCCCCAGGTAAATATATATGTGTGGATTATATTTGAAATACAATCAAGATATTTTATCTTGCGATTTACTTGATCATATACTTACTTTATAACTCTATAGGATGTACTGATATTGATGATGCTCTTCATGTTCGAGAACTCCCCAACGGAAACTATGAAGTTGGTGTCCGTAAGTAAACTAGAATAACAGTGATAGTCAATTAACTTGATTAACTATAATTAATTAATGAAAAACATTTATATATACACACTCATACAAAATTTGTTATCATTAGATATTGCTGATGTTACATATTTTGTAAAGAATGGACAGGCAATGGATGATGAAGCTGCTTCGCGTGGTACCAGTGTGTACCTTGTAGACAAACGTATTGACATGCTTCCCGGACTTTTGGGAACAAGTAAGTTTTATTGTTGGCATTGCCGTTACTGCTGCTATTGTTGTTTGAATGTAATTAATTATTATATTCTACAACACTATTAAATATAACATAACATAACATAACATAACATAAAAATACTCATACTCTACTATTTATTTCTATTTTATTATTTGAACAATAGATCTCTGTTCATTGAGATCCAATGTTGAACGTTTAGCATTTTCTTGTATTTGGGTAAGTTTTTTTTTAAATTAGTACACAAGACAAAAAAAATAATACGACAATATACATAGGTACATGTGTATATTCATATAAATACTGACACTAATGAATACTTGTAGGAAGTGAATGAAAACGCAGATATTATCAATGTAGATTTCACAAAGAGTATCATTCGATCCAAACACTCTTTCACTTACGAAGAAGCTCAGAACCGTATTGATGACGAGTAAGACATACCCTTTATTATTATTATTATTATTATTATTATTATTCTCCCTCTCTCTATCTCTCTCTTTATTGCTCTTTATCCCTTGTCCTTTCACCCCCTCCCTCTCCTTCTCTCCCCTCCACACCATTACCAAAACAAAGGCATCTTTACGCTCCACCAAAACACCTGCTCAACTGTAATTTGTTATTTGCTATCACACAATCCACATATTAACATTATCATTTTTCTTAGTCGTATGCAGGATGATATTACAAAGGGAATTCGTGTTATGAACTCAATGGCAAAAAAGCTGCGTCAGAAGCGCCTGGACCGCGGTGCCTTGACACTCTCGAGCCCTGAAGTCCGATTCAATCTTGAGAATGATTCTCAGGATCCTGTAGATGTAGAAATGAAGGAACTCAAGGAGACTAATGCACTTGTGGAGGAATTCATGTTGTTGGCCAATATCTCGGTTGCCGAGAAGATCTACTCAAAGTTCCCCAGTTCTGCCTTGCTGCGTAAGCACGCTGCCCCTCCAATCAGCAACTTTGACACCCTTCGCAAAGCTCTTTCTGAAGTCGGTGTCACTCTCGAAGTCGACAGTTCGAAGTCACTTGCTGATTCTCTTGACAAGGCAGTAGTAAGTTGAGTCGATCTTTTTTTTTATTCTTTATTTTGTATGTACATTATGTGTACAACATTTGCTATAATGATCATTATTACTATTTGACTCAACTATAAAACAAACACTTTTGGTTTTGGTTTTTTAGTTACCTGAAGATCCTTACTTTAACAAACTAGTACGCATCATGACGACACGTTGCATGATGCAAGCACAATACTTTTGTTCAGGAACAGAGTCAGAAGCTGACTTTAGACATTATGGTCTGGCATCACCTATTTACACTCATTTTACATCTCCTATTCGTCGTTACTCTGGTATGTTTGTATTTCAGTAAAGTGTAATAATATAGTGTAGTGTAGTGTAGTGTAGTGTAGTGTAGTGTAGTGTAGTGTAGTGTAGTGTAGTGTAGTGTAGTGTAGTATAGTGTACAATTATACTATCTATGGTTGTAGAATGAAGCCTTGATTTTCTATATATATAATCTCTCTTTGCTTGAAATTAAACATGTAACCCTTGATTTTGATATTAGATGTGGTCGTACATCGTTTGTTGCAAGCATGCATTGATTCCGATGCTGTCTATGGACAAGAACTTATTGACAAGGCCAAAATGAAGGATCTATGTGATGGTAATGTAATTTTTTTCTTTTTAAAAAAAAGAAAGAAAGCAAATACTTGCATACATGCATGTATACATACATATACACACAATAATACTAATAATATTGTATGCTTGTAGGTCTCAATCATCGACATCGCATGGCACAACAGGCTGGTCGTAGCTCAGTCGAACTTTACACAAACATGTTCTTTAGAAACAAGATTCAGGTTGAAGAAGGTCGTGTAGTACGTGTCTTGAAGAATGGATTTATTGTACTTGTACCAAAGTAAGTTTTCTCTTTCTCTCTTTCTTTTCTTTGTTAAACTAACACCTATGTTTTCTTTTTCTCTTTACAAAATTAAAAAGGTATGGTATTGAAGGTATTGTATATACTACAAAGGTATCCGGTGGATCTTCTCCATTCGTTTATAATGAGGAGAACAACAGCTTGGATGCTCCTGGCGACGTGGTTATCAAGATGTTTGGTACTGTCAAGGTCGAGATTTCTATTGAAGGTGATGAAAATGGCATGAGACAAAAGATGAACATGAAGTTGATCGAACCCTACGTCGAGGGTGTGAGTGCACTTCCCACCACAGCTGCACAAAAGAGAGCTATTGAAAGTGACAGGGCAGCAAAGAAGGCAAAAGCAAACTAAATTATTAAAGACTAAAAAAAAATTATATATAAATAAATAAATAAATAAATTTTACATACATATAGATAGAAATATAATTGGATCTGTATAATACTTGTATATACAATAATCATAATAATAATAATATTATTATTATGAATGCACATGTTTTGTCTTAACATCACTATACATAAATTCAAGCCCTTTATTTCCATGTTCTACCAATCATTCAATGTATACATACATTACATATATTACATTACATAAATATACGTATAGATATATAGATATTTATTTATTGATTTATTTATTTATATAAAAAAGAAGTGCATGCAAATCTTGATAATTATCATAATTATTATAAATATTATAGATGTTATTATGTAAATAAACAGATAAATAAATAAATATATATATAAATAAATAAAGGGAATTACAAGGTGATAATTATCTCAAGAATAATCTCCAAGGCTTTATATATATATAATTAATTAATTAATTAAATTAAATTAAATTAAATAAAATGAAATGAAAGATAGGAAAAAAATAGCATAAAAAATGATAAATAAAATAATAATAATAATAATAATAATAATAATGATGTTTCAAAGTGAATATATAAATAAGAATGAAAAATAGGAAATAAATTTGAAATTTGAATCATGAAAAAATGAAAGGGAAAAGAAGTACTAATAAATAAATATATAAATATATATAATACGTATGTATGTATGTATGTATGTATGTATGTATGTAATTTTTTGTGTATGTAATTTCGTTTGTGTGTGTGTTTTGGCATATAAAGAAGAATATAAATATAATCTTTTTTTTTAGAAAAAAATTGAAAAGTATGAAGTGTTCATAAATGACTTGAAATCAGAAATGGGGTTTGAAGAAAGAGGTGAGAATAAGACGAACAATAAAAAGAAGAGGAGAGAAGAAGAGAAGCGTAAAGATAGTAATTGAGTATCGTTTACTACTGTCGTTTTCTGGTAATTATGTGTCTGTGTCTGTGTTTATGTCTGTGCCTGAGTATGAGTCTGTGCCTGAGTATTTGTGTGCGATTGTATGCGATTTTGTGTATGTGCTTGAGTATGTGCTTGAGTGTATTATGTGAATGTGAATGTGAATGTATATATATATATATATATATTTATATATATTGTTTTCAAGTATTATTATTATTTTTCAAGAAAAAAATAAATATCGGAATTTTATATTAGATCAAGGCCGCACCAAGCAAAGCATTTGTCACAGAAGAGCTTGAAGACAACGAAGATGATGATTGTGGGGTTGCTGAACCATTAACAAAGCAGCAAGAAGATGAAGGTAAAGGTGATGATGATGACGATGCGGATGATATTAATGGCTTTTCATAGAACCCAAGAGAGATCGGTGATCCTGTGTTTGAAGAAATTGTAGAGGCAGAGCAAGACTGCGAAAGATGAGGAGTCAGATTATGCTGGATCGTGGATGGGTAATCGAGAGAAAGGTCTTGTTGGATCTGATAGAAATCAATTGGCATTGTCATTGGCGTGTGGTCAGGGAGAGGAGAACACATTGCGTCAAATGATAGGTCGCGCTTCATTCCTGGGGTACTTTCGCCAGTGCTGCTTCCACTGCTTCCACTGCAGCTAATACCGTCTTCTACCATATTCATCGACCCTGAACATTGGTTGTAAAAATGATGCATATCTGGCTCAGAGAATCTTCGCTCTTTACACTATACAATAGAATCAAAATTTAGAGTTTAGAGTTTAGAGTTTAGAGTTTATAATTTAAAATTTATATTTATATTTATAATTTAAAATTTAGAGGAAGAATTATACATACCAAGCTAATAGCACTGTTTGTAGATGGCCATGTAGCATTGAAATCAAGTAAATAGCTAGAGGTGGGCAACAAAGACATTTGAGGAGCTGGGCACGATTTGCGACGGAGAAATGCATCATGGCTTGCACTCAAACTCTGATGAAAAGGTCTTTGCTGCTGCTGCTGTTGTTGTTGTTGTTGCTGGTACTGCAATGAAATGTCATTCATTGCTCCCGTAAGAGGATGAATTGGCATCGAAAGCCAACAATTGTCATTCTGGAGCTGCTGGTTCTGCGATTGAATTCCACAGTTGGATTGGTGAAGTGCTGAGGAATCGAAGCATGAAGAAACATTATTGGCTGTATTTGTGGCGGTTGTGTTGGTTGTGTTGGGTGTACTGGTTGTGCTGGTAGTGGTAGTGGCGGCGGTTGGTAAACTGACTGTAGAGTTTGAAGCACCGATTGATGAACTGGCGGCGGCGGCACTGACAGCGGCAGCGGCAGCAACGGCAGCGGCGGCGGCGGCAACACATCGGACATCTGGGTTGCCTTGAGAGTGCCAGGGAACAGTCGACCAATCAAATGCTCGATGGCTTACAAGAGAATCATCAAGCGAATGAGTTTGCTTCTGATGACAGATTGATGGAGGCAAGTAACTTGTGAATGCCGATTTTCCCTCACAGCCGAGTTGGTGGGGCTGAACATTTGCAAAGAACTGAGAGAACAAGACCGAGTGGTCCATTTCACTGTGGTGGTCAGAGTGGCTCAGAGGACTGTGCATATTAGGACTGTCTCCTCCAATACTGCCGTCGAGGCTATGACTGTGGTGGCTATGGTGGTGGTGGTGGTGATGGCTACCGTAGAGGCCGTCATCTTGAGGATCCATTCCAGAAGACGAGGATGATGAAGAGGACGACTTGCGACGTTGCAATTTTGCCTTTGCTCTACGGTTCTGGAACCAGATCTGGACACCACGCGGAGTCATGTCTAATTTTTGGGCCAAGATGCGACGGACGGTTGCATTAGGCTTTGGGTTTTCGGCAAAGGATTTCTCGAGGACCTTGAGTTGGGCTCTGGATGTACGACGACGATGCTTGATCTCGAATGGATTGTAGAATGTGGGTCGGAAGTCGCCGTGGGGGAATTGATGAAAGGCCTCGAGAAGGTAATTTGGATCGAGATCTGCACAGCTGGGTGAGGTATAGAAGATTGGATTGGGATCATTGAGGTCCGATGTGATATTGAATGATTGCTCAAATGAGTGCATTGGATCTGTTGTCATACTGAAAGAGAAAGATGCGAAATGAAAAGAAGTAGATAATGTAAAGTAGTGTGTTGTGGATGTAATAGATGTTTGTTTAAATGACTATATATTGGAATCTATCTCTAATGATATAGAGTAAGGTATAGATAGATAGGTAGATAAGTAAAAAGAGAGAGAGAGAGAGAGAGAGATGTAGTAGGAGAGAGCAAGAGTAAGAGTAAGAGAGAAAGAGTTGGTGTTTTGAGTTGGATTTCAAACTTTGGTTTAGTTTATATAGCATCGAAAGGAACATATATATATATATATATAATCTAAAGGGCTATAGATCTTATATATAATATATATATATAATTCAATGACAGAGTCAACCTGAGGAAATGAGAAATAAAGAAAACTAAAGGGGAGGACGAGGGAAAATTCCAATGGTCAAAGGGGTTAGTAAAGAAGGGTTTTCTTTTTTTTTTTTTTTTTTTTTTTTTACAAGGATTTTTTTTTTACTCATCATTATCATTATAATAGTCGTCTTTACCGTTGCTGTTGCTTTCGTTGTCGTACCTGTTGTTGTTGATATTTTGCCCATGTATTTTTTTTCTTGTCTTTGACTTATTTGGCTTGTGAATATAAAGATCAAGACAAGTGTGGAATGCTCTTTATTTTATTTTATTTTTAAATGTTTTAAAAGACTAGAAGAAAGATATATCTTGTGTTGTATTGTATTCTGATATTTTGAAACAAATTTTCTTATGTATATTTATGAATTGAATTGAATTGAATTGAATTAACTATTCTTATTTTAAAATCATAAAAATCATACTAGATCCGTGCATTGTTATTATTACTATTACTATTATTTGATTTATTATCATGTCTGCAAAGGGGAGCTGGGATTGTACACGAGCAAAACAGCGGGTAGGAAAGAGGGAAAGGAAACCCTTTTGGAGAAATATAGGGGAAGTATATCCATAGATTTCTTCTCTTTTTTGTCTTTTTTTTTGTTACAAGTAAAGATAGACAAATAATTATGTGTGGAATAGAATACGGGATAGGACTAAGCGGGTCGGTCGAAACATCAAGCCCGTACAGGAGACCTTTTTCTTTTCTTTTCTTTTCTTCATATGTATTTTGGTAGCAGTATTTCTACTGTGTATTAAATTATTGCAATGTGTAGAGATACACCTGTGGTAATTTATTGGAGAGCATAAATCAAACCACACACCCATATTTATTTATATATTATCAATACGATATTTTAAATTGGAAATTATTATTTCCTATGTTTCTGTCGTGGTTTTTTTTATTGCTGTTGTTGCTGGATCAAGAAAGCTCATTAAACATCAACTCAATCTATAGAGACAATGACAACGATGCAAAGAGGTAAACAGGGGCAATATTTTATGTACATACATATATATAAAAGAAACTAGAGTATGTATATGTATATGTATGCGTAAAGAGCTACAGACATATATAGACACAATAAGACAGATACATATACATGCAAATAGTCAGTATGTTATACATACATACATACGTACATACATACATACATACATACATACATACATACGTACATACGTACATACGTACATACGTACACACATAAAGAGATAGAGAAGGTAAGGAAAGAAGAAGAGAGGGAAACAGGCACAGTCCTTTTCCCTGTTTTTTTTCCTTTCTTTTTCTTTCTTGTTTCCCTTTGGCATGCATCTTATGCGCGCCAGTTGACGATCGAACAAAAAGAAACTCTTTAACCTTGTTTTCATGGATGGTTTCAACCGAGTCAAAATAATAACAATAACAATAGCAACAACAACAACAACAACAACAACAACAACAACAACAACAGCAATAAAGAAATATCGATTTCAATAGCAACAATCAAGAGCTTTGGGTTCTTTATTTCTTTATTGTTTTATAAAAGGAAAAAAAGTGAAAATATTTGGTAAAATGTCAAGAAACTAATTTAGACTTGTTGTACTTCTTTGTGAAACGAAAAGGACATCCCTCAAGTCTTGTAATAGTAATAAAAATAGTCGTGCTAGTAATATTAGTTGCTATAGTAACGGTATACTTTATATTATATTATATTTTTTATTAGTTTACTATGTTTGTACACGAGAAGCCCGCTCAAAATGGATATATCAAGAGGTCTCTCTCATCAAAGGAGGAAGCGGAGAGAAAGTAAGGGGGGGTATATAGAGAGGGAAAGTGCAGGGTTGAAAAGTAAAGAATCATTTATATATATATGTATCTTTTTTTTACAGATAGCAGATTATTATTATAATCCTATACATACAAACACGCACACCCACACCCACACATCTTGTCGGCGATCACATCTTGCCTATTATCTCTTTCCTTTCCTTTTTTTTCTTTTTTTTTTCATCTCCCTGTGGCCCTTGCTTTTTATTTATTTATTTCAATTGCTTCAACTTTCAATTGCTCCTACAGACGCACGAGCACAACCCGCTTACCTTTTCTCTCTATGACGATTGTAGAATTTATTATATTTGGTTTGCAACAGTACGTGTACCTTTCAATTGAGCATTAACCAAAAGCCAAAAAAAAAATCAAAAATCAAAATTCAAAAATCAAAATTCAAAATTCAAAATTCAAAATGCAAAATGCAAAATTCCAAAATGTAACACCCAAAAACCAAAAACCAAAAATCACAAGCCAAATGTCAATAGCCAACAGTACAAAAATACAAGTCCCTTTAGCTAGTTCACTTACTTATCTATGTCTGCTTGATTTGCTTTACTTTTATTATATATATATATATATTGTATATTGTATATTGTATATAAAAAAAAAAAGTTCAATTCAAAGAAATCATAGATAATTTATTTCCCACCTGTCAACCTGAACATATGGCTTCATTCTTCCGATCTCCTTGCTAAAAAAAAGCTTCACTCTTTCCAACCCCCTTTCCTTTCCCCTTCCTTCCTGTCTATCTGTCTACTTACTTACCTACCTACTTGTCTGTATTTCTGCCTGCCTGCCTGCCTGCTTGTCTATTTACCTGCCTGCCTGCCTGCCTTCCTTTAAATCTCTCTCTCTCTTTTTTTTTTTAAAAAAAAAACTCTTTTGTAAAGAATTATTTATACTTTACAATACACATTTTAAATACAACCAAGCACTTGAAATACTAAGTAATAAAAACTTTCTTCTTTTTTTTTATACATCATATTTTTATATTTCATTTCATTTTATTTTTATATTTCGGTAGATAGAAAGATAATAGTGATAATAACTCTCATAAAGAAATATCGATAATAGAAGAAGTATAAAAAGTATAAGAAGAAGAAGGAGAGAGAGAGAAAAGAAATTGTATAGGACAAAGATAGGTTGGTGACATTCTTGACTTTTTGTTCAACCCAACCTGATTTCTCTCGCCACAATAAAAAATAAAGTAAAAAAGGACATAAAAGGCATCTTGGCATGGTAGACGATCTCTTATTTTAGAGGTCTTTTTCATCAGCATATCCTCTGGCAATACCCGAACGTCCTTCCTGCACACTTCCAGCCTCATCCTGTCCGATATTGGGTTCAAGACCCCTGTAAGATCGATTCTTCAGGTACTCTCCTGCATTTGTGTGATCATTTCGAGTAAACCAAGCGTATTTCAGATTAGTTAGTCATTTTGTCTATCTTTGTTTCTCTTTTATGTCACTATGTTTCTATGTACTTATACATATACATATACATATATATATAATTCCTTTCTTCCTTTCTTTGTACTTTAACACGGCTTCTTCCCCACACACACACACAACAACAACAACAACAACAGCAATAATAATAAAAGCAAATATACAAATATTCTTTATAGTTGTTTTAGAGAATAAAAAGAAAAGGCATTACCTGCTGTACTGTTCAACAACATAGATATACTAGTATCTTTGCTTCGAAGTGTAAGATCAGTCAATTTACTAGTCAATGGTGTATCTAAATCTATAGAATTGTTACGTCGTCTCTTTGTTAATTATCAAAAAGTAATCACAAATAATAACATGAGAGAAAGTACCTTGTTTGTTGGTGTTCTTGTTGAACGGACGAGTCTTGTATTGTCCAGTAATCAACGAAAAGTGTTCTTCTTCATCACTTGAGCCGTCTTCATCTTCCTATTATTATTAATAATAATATTTTTATAATACATTATAAGATTTCAATAGTAATAATAACAGTGGTGAGCAAGTGGATAAAAGTAAATGACATTTTACCTTGTCATATGTAAAGTCATCTGTGCGGAGACTGGGAAGTAACTTTGAAAAATCAGTGATATAATCTCCTGTCCACTCCTTTGACCTGTGCACATCAAATGTTAATAAAATAAAGCAAAGCAAAATAAAAATTTGGCTTACTTTGCCAGTGCAATCTCAAGTTCAAAGGGGGTTACGATTGGGCGGTAAAATTCCTTTGGGACAAGTCAAAGGCATGGTTAGTATAATAACAATAAATGAAAACTGTCTTTCCCTCCTTGCTTCCTTCTGTCTCCCTCCACCCCCTTCCTTCTCCACCTTCTCCTCTTCTTATATAAATAATCATATACTCTTTTGATTTGTTTCACCCTCGGTGTTAGGTGTAAATTTTGGTGTTGGTGTGTAGAATTAATGAAAAAAAAACAGGATCAAGAAAAAAAAATTACCTTTGAATCAATCAAACTATTTTCGGGACAGGCAACCAGCACATAACAATCAACCTCCATAAAATTAGCCATCTTGGCTACATTAAGTTTACCCATCACAAATAGATATGATTTTCTGCCAGAGATCGAAACCAGCTTTTTGATATGTTCGATGATATTCATATAAGAAGCTATTTAACACATATAGGCACAATTTGTTAATACATATATATATATAAAAATTAAAGGCAGAAATACTAACCAACACCAAGAGTACCAACAACGATACCAATAGTATTAGCATCCTTGGCCTTTTGAACCAAGACGTATCTATAATGACAATAATGATAAATAGTATTAGTAATTAATAGTACAGTTGTGTCAAACTGCTCTATTCTATTTCAAGACAAAAGAATACAAAGCAAAAATAAACAATAACCTCTTCATTAGCATCCTGTTCACTTGGACTGTTTCCTTTCTAGCTTCTTTAGTCTTGGGATCATAAGTGTACAACTACAAGAAGTTTAATTTAATTTAATTTAATTTAAATTTATTGTTAGTATTGTAAAGCAAAGCAAAAAAGAAAAGAAAAAGAATCCCCTGATCTTCCCTCCTCTTTTGTCCCCCTTCCACTTCTTCCCAAACCCCTCCTTTTTCTTTCTCTCTCTCTAGCTATCTTTATCTACTCCAACCTTTTATATGTAAATATATATATTAAGGCAAAGCACAACAAAACCAAAACCAGAACCAGAACCAGAACCAGAACCAGAACCAGAACCAGAACCAGAACTTACCTGACATTTGTTGTGAACCATCAAGATATTGGTTAATGTCAAACTCTCGCTTCCGACAAAAAAGATCGAACATGATTCGATGGGCAGATCTTTGGGTAAAGTGTAATATCTTCCTCCCTTGGTCTTCTCAGCACTCAATTCCTCGGTAGTAATCAAGCGTGGTTTGGACGATCCACAGCTACCATCGGCCTCTTTGAGCGTGTCTTCTAAATCAGATTTACAATCACATGTACATCCCTCTTTTTTGTCTTTTCCACCGCAACCCTTGGTCTTGATGATTCCGGTCGATTTATCCTCGAGTTTGGGTTGATGGTCCTCGAGTGTGGACTGAAGTTTTGATTCTTTCTGGATCTTTGTAGGAATGATATTCGTGTAAGACTTTTGCAGCCGAGAGGTCAATTGATCTATACAATAACAGTGATATATACATATACATAAATATTATATAAAAAAATAAATAAGAAGTATATTTATTACATATATAAATTGTTTTATAAAAAAAATATTATATATGTTTTGCATATATAAATAATTTGTATGCTTGCAATAATGATAATGATAGCAAAGAGAGATAAAGAAGTATTATTCTTATTAAAAGGTATGTATGTATGTATTTATTTTATGTGTGTGTGTGTGTGTATATGATTGTGTATATGTGTGTTGACTGTGGGATCTTACCAACATCATAAGAGTATTCCACATCGCACATCACAATAACAGGTGTATTCTTGTCAGGAAATAATGTTTCAAATTCCTTGATACAATGGTCGATATCCACTGATTGTTGACCAAATACATACAGGACAGGTAAATGCGATGTTCTGGTGCAATAATAATACATATGTATATATAAATACATAAAATATATATATATAGAGAGAGAGAGTATGTGTATATATATAAATCAATATCTGTTCTTTTCGCTTTCTTTCTTTCTTTCATTTGTATATATATATATATTGAAGATACACACTCACTCACTCACTCTCACACACACTCACACACTTACACACTTACACACTTACACAACTACATACTTACATGCTTACATGCTTACATACTTCTTCCCTTACACGCTTCTTCACTTACACATGAATGTGTATGTGTGTGTGTGTCCGTATGTATGCGTATGTGTATGTGTATGTGTATGTGTGTGTGTGTGTGTGTGTTTATGCATATATATCAGTGTACGTATGTATCTATGTGGTTTTTTCTTTTAAAAAAATCTATATTCTCCAATTAATACGTATAAACACATGCGAGAGAGTGTGGAGTGCGCATCTTCTTCTGTTTCTTCTATTATTTGGTTTGTTTGGTTGGTTGGTTGGTTGGTTTGGAACGAAATGTCTTTACGGAGAGAGACAGGATCGGCCATAGTGAACAATCAGATCAGCGTTGCAATGCTCAGCTGCGACTTCATCCACACAACAGCTTCCATAAGAAGTATCGGCAAGAATAAAGAAACTCTTGCCTGTCTTTTGTTGAAGGATCGATGATACTGCGGTTGCATCGGCTAGCAATTCATCCGGAAATTGAAGAGCAATTCTCTTGTAGTTTCCATTGACGATTCGATCGACAGTGCGATCTATCTCATAAAGCGTCTCGAGATTATTGTGTTTGACACTTTCTGTTTCAATAGCACGTTCAATGACAGAACTTCCGTCATCAGCAAACGTGGCAGGTCCTTTGGCAGTCGACATTGTAATAAAAACGAAATATATCTATATATATATCTATATCTATATGCGCGTGTGTGTATATATTTTGTGTGTAGAAGGAGAGAAAGGGATAAGGATTTTTTTAGGGGTTTAGTGTAAAGTAAAGTAATGTAAAGATAAAGATAAAGATAAAGAGAGAGAGAGGGGAGTATAAAGGGGTTGGCTATTATTATTAAAATAATAATAATAATAGATGAAAGGGGGACAGGACTATGATATTGGTTTGAATAAAGTGTCGAAATGCAAAAAATTGTCAGTGGCTGTGACTGTTGGATTTTCACTTTTTTTTTAAGAGAGAGAAAGAAAGACCCTGAAGTCAAATACGGATAAACTCCTCTAATTGTTTTGGCCTCATAGGCACACAAACACACTTACCCTTTTATTGCTTATGGTTTAATACGCATAAAGTGATTTTGTGGTACAAAACGCAAGGGAAGTGAAAGGAAGAAAAAGGGATAGTGGGGTTGTGGGGTTATGGAGGAAAGAGTTGCTGTTGTGGTAATAGTAGTTGTGGTGGTGGTGGTGGTGGTGGTGATAGATGGTGTGATTTTTATGCAAGGGAAAAAGACAGATACTAATATAGATGCGGGTAACGGATACAGACACGGATACGGACACGGATACGGACACGGATACTCAGTAAGAGATGCATGATCAAAAGAGAGGGAAACCCGGTAATAGATATTACAACTATATTCTAAATAAAGTATTTTATATTCTCTTTTTGAGACTATAACATGTCCAAAGCAATTGACCATTTTGAATAGGAAAGTAAATGTAAACCAAGAGAGATTTTATTACACAATATACTCTGAAATCAACCGTCATTTCGTTAAATAAGTACAAGCTGACACTAGAGTAATAGGTAAATATCGAATAGCACTATTGGTTTATTTTATCTGATTCGTGATTTCATCAAACAGAATACAAAAAAAAAGAAGCCATAAAAGACGGGTGAACCTCTTTTATTGTATATAGAGGTACACAGATACATACACATACACATACCTACATAAATACACCTTTCTCTTTTATACACCTTTGTATGTAGGTGTGCATATAGTTTGAACTTTCCCCTCTTTCTCCTTTTTTATACATATCTAAATAAAATAAAATGACCCTTTCTTTTCTTACTTTGTACCTTGTTGTTCATATTCTTTCCCTTTATTTCGAAGGTAAGAATGTGAGTTAAGGAAGGAAGAGGTTCAAGATCGAAAACGATCTACAAGATCCAATCTTCTTTTGGCGGTTTTTTTTCTTATTTTCTTTTGGAGTAGTATAATTGGTATTATCTGTATTCACCACTCAATCTGATCACAGATAATTATGCACGCATGTATTATGTAAGTATGCAATTATGTATATATGTATATATGTATGTATGTATGTATGTATATATATATGTATGTATGTAAGTATGTAAGTATGTATTCCATGTCTGTTTTCCTTTTTGTGTGATGAAATAGTAAGAAATATTTGTGTTTGTGTGGGTTATTTGGTTATTGGGTTATTGGGTGAGTGAGTTATTGAGTGAGTAAGGGCAAGTGGGGGGTGGATAGAGGTGGTGTGTAGACTTGTCGGGAGAATGTTATGGGCTTTTATACAAATATCACTATTATAGCTACAAAGACGTACAAGAAAATAGAAGAAGAAAAAAGTTAGCATTTGGTTATCATAAATTACAGTAAACCACAGTAATTATTCATTCATTATTATTATTATTATTTTAAAAAAAAGAATATCTATACTTACAATGGCATCCATCTTTGTGAGTACATTGAGTACGGCAGCAATGATTTCAATCGACAGTTCTTTTCCGGCTCCAATATTCATCTTGGCTCCTTCTCCGGCAAACGGCCATGTAGAGTAATCGTTCATCAATTCATCTACCCGGTTGAATGCCTGTTCCCGCAAGTCGTGTTGGAGGTAGAGAAGGGCATTCTCGAGCACATTGGCCGCATAAGCCGCACAGATCATACTGACCGTTCGGAGGTAACAGTGGGGAATATCTGACTGGGCGTCAATCGACGAGGCTGTCACACGAGTGATTAGCATCGTACAGACACGCTTGATAACCTCTTCCTTAATTGCCGTGTCAGTGATCGGGTGGGTAGCCATATCGAACAACAGGAAGTTGCGTTTCTCTGTTCGTAGGACGCCCTTGTCTACCAATCCCTTGGCCAATCTTTCTCTGACTTGTTTCAATTGATAACCAATCTTCATCACATTCCAAGTCTCACCTACGATATATTGCACATGTATTTAGTTTATTTTCACAGGCACATTAACACAAAGTCTCTCTTTCTCTTACACATCTCTACTAATACACATGCACAAATAAAGAAAGAAAGAAAGAGAAAAAAATGTATATATGCTTGTCAAAGAAAACAAACTTACCACTCATCAAATCAATCCAGCTTGCCACACTCATCTTCTCGCTAGTCTTCATCATTTTCAAAGCTTCGTCGAGCAAAACCTCTCCTGTAAGTTTATCATCAATGACTTCGATATATCTATCTGCTAGTTGGTATTTTCTTCTGTTGGGATCCTTGACCATTGCTATCCTTCCTCTGAATGCAAGTTCCATCACAATGCATCCTCTCAATGCATAACTGATGCTATCGTTCCAAAATGAAAGGTAGCCCTGAGAATTAAATTAAATTATTATTATTATTTTAAAATAAAGAAAGAAAGAAAGAAAAAAAATGTCAATTCGTCATTGAATCATCATCCAACAAATAAAATAAAAGTAATACAATAAAAGAATCGAACCTGTTTGTCTTTGAGTCCAAGTAAGAGAACTTCTTCCATCAATGTAAGTTTTGGTGTTGATTTTGATTCGTTGACTTCTCGGGGGTCAAATGCAATCTTCTTTTCTGTCACTGGAGAATCGCGAGGATTTGTAGATGCATTTGGTTCTTGAGTTGAGTCATCTTGGTTGGATGACCCTCCAACTCTTCTTCTTGTGATTGTCGACATGGTATTATGGAAATGTTCGCTTAATTATTTATAAAGTAAAATGCGTGTGGAGATCTGTGTAGTGCGTAAGGTGTGTATGAGAGCAGCTAGTGTAGTGTGGTGTGGTGTAGTATAGTATAGTATAGTATATTATATAGTGTATAATATATTCAAATGTCTTTTTTTTTTTCTTTTTTTTTTCTCTTTCTTTTTTTGGATTTCCGATGGTACGAGATATATATATATATATACATGCTTTCTATATAAATTATAATATAATATAATATAATATAATTTAGTATTAAATAAAATGTAGGTCTGTACGACAGATGAAATAAAATTATTATTATTAATATTTTAAATACAAAGGCCATTTATCATATAGTTCTCTACAGTCAAAGTATGATGTGCCTTGTAAGTAAGCAAGATGTATAGAAATGACCGTATTTGGTTCCTGACAAATGTTTTCTTTGGACAAGAAACCTCAAGCCATTTGTGTAGATCAAATTGATCTTTTTCTTGACCTGATTTTTAACGTACAGAAATGAAAATAAAACAAAGCCAGAGTATTCTTACTGTTCCTACTAAAAAAGCCTCTCCAATTAGAAGAGAATATGATAGAAAATAAAGGTGGCTTTAACATTTCACTATTGTTTATTTTTTTATTTTTCTACTCATGTTTTCTGTACAGTCAGGCTTATAAAGTAAAGTAAAAGACATATATATATATATTTGGATTTGTGTCGTACATGTAATGCGCGGTCTTTTAAATTATAACAAAAAGGAAAAAGGAAAGAGTAACAATAAGGAGAAAAGGTCGATTTGCTTACTGGTGAAATCGTACATTGTTGCTGTATATTTTTGGTCAGTGTCTTTACTACCAATAGACTCTTTTTCCTTTTTATTCATTTGCTTGTTTTCTGAGGAAAGACACTACACCTATTAATTTTCTTGCTCCATCTAAAATCAACACATTGGCCAAGACATACAACATAATCTGAAGAAGAAAATTTTCTTTAAGAAAAAGAAAAAAAAAAGATCGGAGATAGACCAGGCTTAGGACACAATTGCAAAATCACGTACATCCTGAAACACACACATAAGTATATTTATTTAAGAATTGGTGGCATAAAAGAAAAAGCCAATGCTGTAAAAGGTACTAGCTGGGAATATACTCATAAAATCAAGTCTTTTGTTTGTTTTTTTGTTTTTTGTTTTTAACAAAAAATCATTCATTCAGAAAGCATGCGTACTGCCAAGCCCAATTTTTTTATGCCGTATTTTATTTATTTATGTATCCATTTATTTGCACGAGGTTTTGATTTGATAGTCTTGTCTCACAAAAGTAATCGAATGTGATAGCTGAGGCTCTATAGTAGCACGACAACAAGAATAAAGAAGTCTAGAAAAGCCTTCTTTTTTTTGCATTTGAGTGTTATATATATATATATTTATTTATATATAGGTACAAGGCAAACTCTATTGAATCTCTTGATTAACCGTTTTTCAATTTAAAGAAATTAAGACTCGATATACTATATATCCTATCAAATATTGCTGTCTAGAATACCCTCCTTTATTTCTTATGAAGAAACAGGCCACCCTTTTTAATATAGAATAATATTATTATCATAAACATATATTCTCTTGCCCACCCCCTTTTTTTTATTTAATGACAAGCTCTTATATATATATATGTAGTATACATATTTCTTTAGTGCCATTTATTTAGCACAACAGTGTAATAGAAACATCGAGAATATCACAGCCTATTTACTTTGCTGGAAATGTACATTTAAAAGCACAATGGCATTCTCAAACATACATTTGCTCTAGGCTATATTGTAGATCTTGAAAACCGTTGGAATGTAAACTTTTATTACTATTCTCTCTTCTTTTCTTATGATTCTTCCATATACACAAGTAATACCTTGGTGCTCTTTATCTATTTATTAAATACATAAGAGAAAATGAAATTATCAACTACACATGCAAGAAAAGAAAAACATTTAACTGGTACAAATAACAGTGGCTCTTTGGTATCGGGCTCAGTCTATTTTAACTAGATATGCATATGTTATATGCTATACATTTATTAAAGTAAAGAAAAGATTGCACATAAAGAACCAGTTGGTTCTGTAATAATCGCATTTCTTAGCTCTTAAACTTGCGTCCACTAAAGAAGATCCTCCCAGATGTTTTGTGAAAATGAAATCTAAAAGGGGGTCGGGTTTCTATCTCTTCAAAGAATGAGCATTCACAAATAAGTAGAGAAAACAAAGCAAAGAGAAGAGCAACGATAAGACTGAAAATAATTGATAATTTTTGTATATTTCTGTATGTATTCTGTGGACTTAATCTAGTCTAGGTTAAATGATCTACACAAGAAACCCAAAGCTTAAATTTTTATACTGAACTGATATTAATATTTCCAAGATATTTCCTATTTTTATACGACAGTCCAAATAAGTAAACTGGAATGAAGGTTAGAGAGCACAGACGCCATGCTTACAATCCATCCCTTTCTTATTTTCTCTCTTTCTCTCCCCTTATTGTACCGTATTATAATATCTATCTATCTATACTTTATGTCTAGATACTTCAAGGGGTAAGCGAGTTTTCAAACAAGAAGCGACATCTACTTTGGGTTTTATTGGACCTCTACCGAAACAAATAGTCTCTTCAAGATATGGAATATACTTGAAGATGATAAGAGGTACAATTGTAGTTATAATAATAAAATCGCATAAACAAATCCATAGTATCTCTTTCTCTTTCTTCATATTATCTCATCTTTATCTTCATCTTTATCTACATACTCATACTCATACTCATAGCCATAGCAATAGCAATAGCAATAGCCATCTTCGCCTTTTTATCTTTCTTTTCTATCTTTCTTTACTAAAACAATGTTCTCGCTACGTTACAGACGAGCAGCATCAAAGTCGGATAAAAATCACAATGATCACAATTCTCCTATCCCACTCTACCAGTATGGTCATGAAGACATGCAAGACGATTACGATTCCAAATTAAAGAAGCAACATGCTAATATGGACAACCAGACCGGGTTTACTGTACAAGACTACATTCAACTAGTCATGGTTACCATATTAGCTGCCTCTGTTCGGGTATGGACCTTGAATCCCACACAACCAATTAGGTACATATATACATACACACAAGAAAAGAAATACTATTCATTTTTCTTTAATTCGTTTGTTTCTTTTTATTTAGTTTGAGCGAACTCGAGATCGTGAACCAAATTGATTGGTATATCCAAAGCAAGTTTTTCATTGGCACTTCTCCCCCACTCGCTGGTCTACTCTACACAAAACTTGCCCAGTTGGCTGGATACACTGGAAATGCGAATTTGTTATTTGATGGACAGTAAGTTACTTTCAACAAACTACGGGCAAAAGTAAAAGTAAAGTAGAATAGCAGCAACGACAACGACGACGACGATGACATTGCTCTAAATTATATATATATATAAAGATCCTTTGGAGATTTCCCAGCACAGCCATTGAGAACCTTCGCTAGCATACTCGGTGTTATGATGATCCCAATGGGATACACAACAATTAGATTATTGGGTCACTCACAACTCGCAGCTATACTGGTAGCAGGGCTTTTGGCAATTGGTAATACAGCAACAGCAACAGCATACATATGTATATGTATATATTCCAGTGAATAGCAACTCTCTCATACTCACACACATTCACAATTTTATATGTATAAATGTGCATAAAGAGAATGGAATGGTAACTCAGTCACAGTTCTTCTCATCCGAGGGTCTTGTTTATGCATTGACTGCTGCATCTATGCTTTCATGGGCATATGTCTACAAGATCCAACAAAGGTACATACCAAAACAAAAACTTGTATATTGATTGATTGATTGATTGATTGATTTTTTTTTTCATTTTTCTTTGTAGAGATTCTACAAAAACTTCTTGGACTTGGCAATCTCTGACAGGCCTACTTATTGGCTGTGCAATGAGGTATATAACTATATAGAAGCAAAATCAATTTATTGGAATTTACTCTTATTTTTGTTTGTTTGTTTGTTCGTTTTTCTTTCTTGTAAAATAATAGTACAAAATGGCAGGGAATTTGTGGATTTGTCATCATATGGGCAGCTACAGTCAGGGATACATGGAAGATGCTGTCAGAGAAGAACAAAGCAATGGTAACAAACATTATATCAATAATGCTAATAAGAGACAATATGACACTTGGATCTTTGCCAAGTACAATGTATTTTTAATTAATTTATTGTGTATGTACTATTATGTATATCAGTCTCAGATTCTTCGCCATTTGTCTTCTCGCGTAGTATCTATTGGTGCCTTGCCTGTTGCTGTTTATCTTGGTGTTTTTTACATACACTTTCAATTAGTTCCCAATGCTGGAGACCATGATCTATTGATCAGTTCAAAGCTAAAATATTCACTTGAAGGAAATCATTTTAAAGGAACATATCAAGGTAATTCACCATTAATTGTTATAATTATATTAGTTTGTGTGTCTATGTATCTTTTCTTATTATTTCCTACCCTATTCATTCGCTCAATTTATCTCTCTCTCTCTCTCTCTTTTAAATGCTTGTGTGTCTGTATGTATATAATTTAGAAATTCCATATGGATCCAGAGTTGTATTGAAGCATGTTGGTACGGCAGGCGGTTATTTAAATTCCCACAATGCTCGTTATGCTACCGGAAGTACTCGTAAGTACCTAAATAGAAAAACAAATGGGGAAGACGATAGTAATAGTAATAGTAATACCAATTCTCTTACAAATGTGTGTGTATGTGCTTAGAACAAATTGTGTCTCTTTATCCATTTACCGACATCAACAATATTTGGATAATTCAAAAGGGAACTGAACTGTGGAACAGCTCGCAGCCTTTTGAGACCGTGAAAACCAACGACCACATTCGCTTAGAGCATTTTGTTAGCAAGCGCAAGTTGCACTCACATAATCATCGTCCTCCCATGAGTAGTAAGAAGGAACATCATGAAGTCACGTAAGTTCTTCTATATATATATGTGTGTGTGTGTTTGTGTATGTATATATATCTTTATATACAGTTTGTGATTAATATCCTTTTTATCTTTATTCTTTCTATATAGCGCTTACGGTGATCGTCATCTTCGTGATAATAACGATTCTTGGTGGGCTCGTGTACTTAACAAGGACGACAAGATTGATCCAAGTGACAAGACTCCTATCAAGGCTCTTTCTAGTCGTCTTCGGTTACTACATAGCCGAGGATGTTATCTGATGAGTCACAATATTGCCTTGCCTGCTCCTGCTCTAAACCAACAAGAGGTATCGTGCATGTCTTCGGCTAGCAAAGCATTGAGTACATTTGTAATTGAGGCTGTTTACCATGAAGGATGTAAGCAAACCAATATATATATATATATTCTTTTTTTTAAAAAAAAAATTGATTTTATTTTAACCTTATATTCTTTGATTACATTACAGTGGAAGGGAAACCCAAGATCTCTTACAGCGTCCCAAGTTTTTTCGAGAAATTGAATGAAGTACATGACATTATGGCCAACTTCCCCAATGTGATGCACGATCGTCTTGCGACTGTTCCTTTGGCAGAGGCTGCCAAAAGTAAAAATGGAGGCAGTCAACGGTCTACGCCTCTCGGTTATCTGTTACGAGCCAGAAATACTCTTATCTGGGATGAACTTTCTGGTCGATCTGTCTATATGATTTTCAACCTTGTCATCCAACGATTGGTTCTATTTAATTTTGTAGCGTACGGGATCTTACTTGGATTCAAGTGCTTTGCCCAAAAGCGTCAGATTCAGTGGTCCGCTTCCAACTGGTCTTCCAACGAAGGAACTATGTGGTCTGGTGAGGAAAAAAAACATTATTAAATCATTTCGTAATATAAGTATATTCGTTGGAGGATTTTTTTTACTAATAGCTCTAGTAATTTAGTACATGAATCTAATGATCATCGGGACGTTGTTCACGGCAATTCTCTTGAATACTTTTTGGCTGGATCCATTTTGTACACCATTGGATTGAGTTTATTGCCATCTCATACTCAAAACATGGCTGATCTTCTTCCTTGTATCTATCTTTGTATTGGCGCAACTGTGTTGAATATTGAAAGCCTTACCAATCGGCTGGGCCGAGCAAGGCTTTTGGTTTTTCTTGCCGTGTTTGGACTCGCAGCTCACAGTTTCTTGTCTCTGTCACCGCTTGCCTATGGAACCACCCCGTGGACGCAGGATGATTGCAGGGCTTCAGGACTCAAATCACTAGATTGTCTGCGTTTTCCTAGTATGACACAGATTGGGTCGGAGATCGACAGTGATTCAACTCAGAAACGCGTCGTGTTGGTGGATGTACCTGGCCAAAGGTATCCATTTGATTATGTCCTTGGCGAAGAATTCGATGCGGACAAATCGATTCATGAGCTCCGGAGCCAAAGATATACCCAGGAAGCAGAGCAGGCGACTGGAGTTCAGCGCTACCATCGGGCTACACAGACTGTTGGATACACTCAAGAGCAAAATGATGAATGGGCGGACAAGATTAACAAGGCGGGACTTGCGCGGGTAGAGGCAGAAATAAAGAAGCAAAATGAAAAGAAGAAAGTTGAGACAGAGAAGGCAGCCAAGGAAGCACTCAAGGCAGAAGCTGAGAAAGGAACCAAAAACCCAGCCGAAGATTCAGGGAAAGCTTCAGTGGCAGAAGTACAAGCAGAAGCAAAGGCAAAGGCAAAGGCAGAAGCAACAAAAGAATCACATGCTCAAGAAGTAAAAGAACAAGTCCAAGAGGTTGAAATTAAGAATTAAATGAGCGATCCAGGCACACAAAACTTCCATTTTATGTTTTCTTACCCCTGTTGATACATCCTTTTTACCTCCTCCCACTCGTAAGGAGGGTCGGGCAGAAGAACAGACAGTTGTGACTTGTCCTCTCAACATTTACTACCCTATTATTATTATTATACACTTTAATTTATATATAGATATAATTTTTTTTTTACTATTTAATACATACATAAAAAAAATAGAGCCCAACTTTATTTTTCGCACTAGTCCTCATCATCTTCATCATGACCTGTCAATTCCATGGTTCTTGTACTAAGAACCTTCTCTTTGTCTTGACTCTGTTGTTGGCCTTGTTCTTTGGCTTTGACCAGGTCAAGGAGAAATTCTATATCTTTGATCAGCACAAGCTCCAAGAGGTTGCCCAGCATAACATTGCTTTGTACTCTAATGACACCCGCTTGATGATGAACAACATTGCCAAGGATCTTGAAGAAGTATACCCCGGACATATCCAATTGAAGGAAGAGTGGGTGTTTAACAACGCTGGTGGTGCTATGGGCTCTATGTGGATTCTCCATGCCTCCCTTACCGAGTATATCATTTTGTTTGGCACTCCCGTTGGCACCGAAGGCCACACCGGTCGTTTCATGGCCGATGATTACTTTATTATCTTGGAGGGTGAACAGTGGGCTTACAATGCCGGTGCTTTGAAGCGTGAGGTATGTATAAAGTATACACACACACACACATATATATATATATATATACTTATTAATCTTTTATTTTATATCTATATCAATACATATAAATCAGGTCTTTTTGCCCGGAGAGATGCACCATCTTGCTCGCGGTGATGCTCAACAGTACAGAATTCCCGAACACGCCTGGGCCCTCGAGTATGCACGCGGCTGGATCCCTCTCATGCTTCCCTTTGGCATGTTCGACACAATTTTCTCAACTGTTGACTTTGTCTCCTTCTACAACACCTTCCGCCTCTACGGCAAATCTGTTGTTGGTGAATTGCTCCAGGGCAAGATCTAGATATACAAGAAGAAGAAGAAGAAGCTATGGGTACAATCTATTTAACTTTTAATATTCTAGTCTAAATCTGTAAAATATATTGTGTCTATCTATCTGTATATGTATATATAAGACATTCGTATATTCACACATGTATTAATTGAAACAAAAACCTAATCTATTAGAGGTTTAAAAGCAATAATAAATAATAAATAATAATAATAAAAATAAAAATTACCATCTAAGAAGATCAATTCAGAATTCAATCAAAGCATCTTCAACCAACTGGGTTCCACAACTTTAAAAAAGAATTAAAAAAAAAAGGCTCTTAATACAAATCATTCTATCCAGGTAAATGGGCTGATGAGAGGAGTTTGGCCCTTAAAAGAATAAATATAAAATCCAAAACTCCGGTTCATAGCTTAGCGTAGTGGGTAAGTTGGATGTGGTGGGATTTTTCTTTTTATTTTTTTTTGATCCACTTTATTTTCTCTTTCTCTTCTTCTTCTTCTTCTTCTTTCTGTTTGTAAATCTTCAATTTTTGTTTTTGCTTTTTCATTAAACACAGATATACCAACACGTACACGTTCATACTCAAGAAGATAAACCATGGAAGCTATTGATGACCTTGCCAATGATAATATTGCCCGTTCTTTGGCCTATACAGCTCTAGAGTGTCGCCAGCAGCACTGTTTCGCCAACCTGCTCCCAATAGCCACCAAGCTACTTCGCCAGCGTATCCAGTATCTCCACCCAACTAACACCAATGACCTCAAGTCCTGGAGCACGGCCGTTCAGTGGCAAGAAGACTCGTGTCCAGAGATTATCGAGACAATGTGGGATGGCACAGGCGGCCAGTCAGACAACGACTATCAGGATGCTCTCTTCCAGAACCCAGTATACTACAAACGTCTCGATCCTGAAACCATGCATGCGATGGTAGAGTTCTTGTCGCGCGGAACAAAGCATTATGTAGTCGTATTGGCCCTTGAAGACGGAAATGAGGATACGTCGGAGCTTAAATATCACAATACCAAGGAGTTTTCGGATGAAGAATGGAAGGAGGTTGTCTTGACCTGGTCAGAGACTGCAGAGGAAGCAGAACGGATATTTTTGATGATGGTAACTCAAAAGCGCACCAAGATGACTGCAACCCCAGAGGTAAGAGATAGAGGTGTATTTATTTCAAATCAATATATATATCTATATATAGAGCATTATATAATATTGTGATTTTGTTCTTTTGTTTTGTTTCGTGGGAAAGACATTTCTTATATTAGATAAGCTATTGAGATTAACATTTAATTTTTCATTTTTTATTTTATTTTGGCAGAGTGTGACTAGCACCCGAGAAGCACCCGAAGATTATTGGGGCGATTGGTCCTCTGAAGAAAACGAGCCAAGTGATACCAAAAACACAAAAAAGAAGGTCGACTCTGAATGCAATTCAGATTCTGACGATGACTCTGAAGACGAGTTCTTCACCAGGTGGAGCAAGAACCCAGGAACATTGACTCCAGGAATCGATGAAGGCAAGAATCTTAAGGAACCTGGTCTTGGTCTCGGTGGGCAGACCTCTGAGCAAGAAAAGCAAGAAATGGAGGAGGAGTACGATCAATCATACAACCCGCTTTTTACTGTCCCCAGCATGCCCAATCTGATGGATGCCCACACCAACGCTCTAGCTGAACTTACCCATATTCTCCAGACCTCGCTCCCATCTGACCAGAGTGGAACCACCCGGCGCAATGTTCTTCAACCACTCACCCAAATAAACCCTTTGCCAAAAGTAGTGAGTCGTACACAAGCCTTATATAACCGCAACCAACAACAACAAGATGCATGGGGACAGACTGGTGTTCCGGGTGCTTACCCAGAAACTCCTAGTTCTGGTGCAGTAGAAACTACACGCGAAGAAGGACAGTCGACAGCTAGTGCATTGGATTCTACAAAACAAGAAGCTGGTAGAGGGCTTTTGATGAAGAGCTTAAGAGCATTAGTTGGAGCTGCTCAACTGTTAGGCTATAGTGGGACTGATATCTTGAGTATGGTAAAAGATATTGTGGATGGAAAGTAATGTAATGTAATGTAATGTAATGTATAAAGGAAGAAACAAACAAACAGAGAAAGAGAGAAAGAGATAGATAGAAAAACGACATGCATTCTATTCATTGTCTATATGTTTTAAACTGGTCGATAGAACCCATGTAATCTATGCAATCACCATATACCAATAAAGACTAACTTACCCACTCGCTCATACTCACTCAATAATGCTCATATTCTAGCTATTTGATAAAGTTCAAGGGTGTTATACCAAAAGTTACACCAATAGAGACCTCCTTCTAACTGTGTTACAGCTTATACACTGCTTTTCACTAATGCTCTGTACACAAAAAATAAATAAATATCCATCAAAATTCTAAAGTGAACAAAGTACAAGAAAGTATTGAACTTTTTTTAAACTTTGATTAGTTTAATGCTACAGATTCTTGGGCTCCAAACAGCTCTCTATTCTCTCAGCCGAGTTCTCGACAAATTCTTTTCTGTCCCTAATGCGTATCTGATTACAAGCATATTTTATCCAGCTGGTTCATTGTCTCTTCATCCACCAACTTATCTCTCCCTCTCTCTTTAACTTGCTCTTCCAGGCAGACCAAAACTGCTCAATTGAATTGAGCTCAATTGTTGCTTTTATTACTGAATAAAGAAATCGCAGTAAAACCCATGTGCGATACTTAAATGGTATCCTTTCTTTGTTTTCGAAACAGGCTGCGTATGTTCCTGAACATGGTTTTGAAAAGAGAGAGAAAAGAATTGCTGCATTGGAAGATCAAATATAAAAAAAAAAGACAAACGCATCCAGTAAATAAGGTTGATATATTATGACTGCAAATCGAGGCCAGCTAAGCACCTTAAAAGGTACTATATGCTTAGATACTGTTGCAATGCCAATCAAAACAAGGATGATATTTATTTTTCTATGCCAAAGCATCATTGAAAATAGCTTATCAGTCATCCAATCTATGTATCCTTTCATGTGTTCCAAAGTAATTATTTCAATGGTCTAAAAATATAGCTTTTTAGCATATTTTCCTTATATTTATTAAAAGGTATATTTAAGCCTTGACAGTCGAACTTGACAAAAAGCATTCCAATGTATGTATATCTGGATATATTTATTAGGTTCCTTATTTAAGATTATAATATACGTATATATATATATATATATATATATATATAAATATGAAATTGTAGTACCATTACATCAGTTATCATTATACTCTTTAACCTTTCTTCATTTTCCAAAATACTATGGCTTATACAGCTCACAAAGATTATTCCATAATGAATTTTGAATTAGTTGAAACCCAACATGTATATAATGAATTGTATAGTCCCAACAAAGGTATCGTAATACAATATATCAAATATTCATAAATTCACATTAATCTTTTCTATCAGGCTTCATATAGCTTTCTCTCCCTCTCTCTCTCTTTAGCCTTTTTTTTTAAAAAAAAATAAAACAAAATAAAAACAAAATACTGGTATTTATATTAATAGTAGTTGTAGTTGTAGTTGTAGTGGTAGTGGTAGTAATAGATTAAGACAATCAGCAACATAAATTAATTAATCTTTTGTTGTCATCCTATAAAGTAAATCGAAATCAAAACACTTGTCATGTCTGAGGATTCGAACAACTCTCCTCACTCTATCGATATCATCAACGAAAATATATTTATGGACACGGACCTTTCTGATCACACCATTAATATTACAGACACTGATTCGATAGTTTCAATCGAAACTTTACAACCTGATCTTAATATACACGCATTTTCTGAATCAAATACACACATTGAGCCAATTATACGCGCTGGATCCACACCATACAATCAATCCATTAGCCAAGATGACCCGATTGTACAGTTAGAACAGAATATACAAACGGAACCAACTACACACACTGAACAAACTACATGCATTGAACTAGATACGCGCATCGAGCCAACTACACAAACGGAACCAATTACGCATTCTGAACCAATTACACATGCTGAACCAATTGCCCATGCTGAACCAACTACACATGCTGAACCAACTACGCTTGCTGAACCAAATACACATGCTGAACCAATTGCCCATGCTGAACCAACTACACATGCTGAACCAACTACGCTTGCTGAACCAAATACACATGCTGAACCAACTACGCTTGCTGAACCAAATACACATGCTGAACCAACTACGCTTGCTGAACCAAATACACATGCTGAACCAACTACGCTTGCTGAACCAACTATACGCACTGAATCAACTACACAAACGAAACCAACTGCATACATTGAACCATCTAATCATATCGAGCCAACTGCTCATACTGAACCAGCTACATACATTGAGCCAACTAGTCATATCGAACCAACTAGTCATATCGAACCAACTAGTCATATCGAACCAACTAGTCATATCGAACCAACTAGTCATATCGAACCAACTAGTCATATCGAACCAACTAGTCATATCGAACCAACTATTCATACTGAACCAATCAGTAATACTGAACCAGCTACATGCATTGAACCAACTACCCATACTGAACTAGCTACTCATACTGAACCAGCTACATACATTGAACCAATCACCCATACTGAACTAGCTACTCGTACTGAACCAACTACCCATACTGAATCTGGTACTCATACTGAGCCAACTATCCATAATGAGCCAACTATCCATACTGAGCCAACTATCCATACTGAGCCAACTATCCATACTGAACTAGCTACTCGTACTGAACCAACTACCCATACTGAATCCGGTACTCATACTGAGCCAACTATCCATACTGAGCCAGCCACTCACGCTGAATTAGCTTCTCATGCTGAACCAACTACTCATGCTGAACCAACTACTCATGCTGAATCAACAATGCACACTGAATCAATTACACAAACGGAACCAACTACCCATACTGAACCAGCAATACACACTGAATCAGTTACTCGTACTGAATCAACTACCCGTACTGAACCAACTACGCATACTCAACCAAATATATGCACTGAATCAGCTACGTATAACGGAATGACTCAAACTGATTCAAGTGAACACACTAAACCAACTGCGCATACTGATTCAAATGCATACAGCGAAAGAGCTCAAACTGGCCCAATTGAACATACGGAGCCATCCGTCCAAACTGCTTCGCCTTCTCTAACGTCTCAAATTGAGAACACTGGAATAACTCTTCCATTAGAGTCAATTAATCAATTAGAAATAAACACTCAAGATCAGCCAAAAACAAAAATTAAACGACGCGTTAAAGCGAAACCATACGCTGATCTTGCACTACGAACTAAATTTAAATTACGCACCCGAGTTAATTTGCGCACTGGATCTGAACCAAGTATTCGAGTCGAACCAAATACACAAACTGAACAATATATGCAAACTGAATCAAGTATTCAACCTGAACCAAATACACAGACTGAACCAAATACACAGACTAAACCAAGTACAGAAGCCGCACCAAATTCACAGACTGAACCAAGTTTTCAAGCTGAACTGGGTGCTCAAGTTGAACCAAAAGCTAAAACCAAAAAAAGTACTACAGCTAAAAAAAATACTACAGCTAAAATACGTACACCAGCTAAAATACGCGCTCCAGCTAAACCACGCGCTCCAACTAAACCACGCGCTCCAACTAAACCACGCGCTCCAACTAAACCACGCGCTCCAGCTAAAAAAAATGCTCCAATTGAACTAAGTACTCAAGCCGAGTCAAGTATTCAAGCCGAGTTAAGTACTCAAGCTGAGTCAAGTACTCAATTCGAGTCAAATATTCAAGTCGAGTCAAGTGCTCAAACCGTGTCAAGCTCTAGAGCCGAGTCAAGTGCTCGAGATGGATCAAGCACTTCTACTACTGAAAATTCAGTCCATACTATTTTACCATGGTGCCTTATTGAATCCGATCCAGGTATAAATAAATATAAGAAAATGAAAGTTGGGCTCATCTCAAATTAACCATTTTAACATTATATATACTTATATACTTATTAACTCTGACAACACCAGCCATTTTCACCTCCATGATAAACAAATATGGTGTAAATGACATTGTTGTCCAAGAAGTATTTGATATTGACTCTAATATATTTACCGCAAAAAGGTAAGCTAATGGACCACAATTTATTTATTACTCAAACACACAAAACTAACATTTCTCTTATTTCTCTAGTCCAGAAGAACAACAGAATGTTCATGGGTTTATTTTTGCATGGCCCTATCAAGAAGAACCGTTACCTAATAACCATTCTACGCATGATTCTGATTCTGAGGAAGTCTTTTATTCCTGCCAAGTATGTACACGTTAAAAATTGACAAATGTTTCTATCTCTCTATTACGCTGCTTTAAATACCCATTTTCATTCATTCATGGATTCATTATTTTTAGGTTATTACAAATGCTTGTGCCACGTTGGCTCTTTTGGGCGTTTTACTCAACTGTGATAAAGAAGTTGATATTGGTGAAACACTAACTATGTTTAAAAATTTTACCAAAGGGTTCGATCCAGTGGTAAGTGTTTAGTAGGATGGGCAGATTATATTACATAAAAATATTATTATTATTATTATTCCTCGTCTGAATGAATGTATATATATAATAGAATACGGGTTTAGCCATCGGTAGCCACCCTTTATTGCGCGACACACACAATAGCTTTGCATGGTAAGAAACAAGAAAATAAGGAATGAAAAAAGAGTTGTTTTTTGTTCTTCAAGGCTCATGTTCGATTTCGATAGTGAAGAAGACAAGGAAGCCGCAATAGCCTCTGCCAGGGGTATTTCCAAAGAAAACGATTATGAAGAGAATGGAGACTATATCAATGAAGATATTTTTCATTTTGTAAGCTACATTTACAAAAACGGGTATATTTGGGAATTAGACGGTCTGAAGAGAGCCCCTGTTAAACTCGGTAAGCCTTTATTTTTTATTTTTACTTTATATTTACTTTGTGGTGGCTAATAAAGTACATTATGTTTAGTGAAATGTACTCTAAGTAATTGGAATGAGACAGTCAAACCAATCTTACAAGAGCGAATGAGAAGGTAATTTTGTGTATGTTAGTGAAAATTAGATGTCATATTAATACGTGTGTCTGCGTGTGTGTTCTTTTCTATCTAAAAAAATAGTACGGGCGAAAGCCAAATTTCATATAACCTGATGGCAGTTATATCCGATCCACTCAAGGCCTTGAGAGAATCAATTACAGACTTAAATGACTTGGTTGAAGCATATGATCACGAAATTTCCGAACAAGAATCAAGATCCCAGGATCTTCGTTCAAAAGTCTTGGGGAAAAGATCAAGACTTGTTGAAGATTACAGAATTGAAATAAAAAGAAATATGCTTGGGTTTTTAAGAAACAGGCAAGAAAATCACAAGGAAAAGAGACGTAATCTGGAAAAAGATTTGGAGATGGGAGAAGCAGAAAAAGAGAAGGAGGAGGTAAGTCTATCATGTAAAAAAGAAAACCTTTTTATTAACTGCGTGTGTGTGGTTTTTTTTTGTCTAGGCTAATAACCTTCGTCTTGATCATGACTACGGTCCGTTCCTTAGAGCTCTTTTTCAAAAGATGGAAGAAAAAGAGCTGCTTGTAAAGATGCTTCAAGAAAAATAGTTTTTGGTTTATTTTATTTTGTTTTATTTTATATGTTATGCTATTAAAAGACGTTGTAATATTACAGTGTCGTGAACTATTCTATTAACATTTACAGCAACAGTATTTTTCTATATGTAAAGCAAATAACAGTGTTTTACAATAACTATAATGTATAGACAACCTTCTGTTATGCATACATATACATTTTTTAATATATCTTATGTGCTACCCTATTCTTCACGTAATACCAAGATTCAGACTTTCAACATTACTGCTCATTATAATTTTTTTAAAAATTTTAATTATCTTGGACGTACGGATTAGTTAAATATTTAATCAGAGAATAAATTTATAAAATGGTTGAATGAAGTAGCTAAAAAAAGCGTAGAGATTTGAGTTTGTCATCAGCGCTATGATCTTAAAACAAATCGTACTTTTATTTGATAGTATCTCAAAGAACCTGTAAATGTAAAAGTAAAGAAGATATCGATAGATTTAAAAATGGCAATTTCGCTATTTCTACCATCTAAGGAAGCGTGTTAAATGTCCGACAGTAAAAGTGATGTGCCCCAAAAATTACTCTTATTATGCGGGGACAGATTCCGTAATTACAGTAGAAAGTGCTATCAAAAGAATATAGAGTATTTTATATGATTGAGCAGTACATTATATACATGTACTTATAAACTCGATGGTACCTTTGTATCTCTAGAACACAACATTAATGTTATCTCCTATATACCCACACACGGGTGCTATTAAGGATCCAGAGTTTTATGCAGCAACTACCACAGGCCCTTTTATTTCAATTAATTTACTGGGCCAAATATGTGTATTTGTATTATACAATTCCCATACTTTTTTATCCTCAATGCACAAAGTCTTAGAGTTCTTCTCTGATATAAGCCGGCGCACCTTTATTTCTTTCTCTTAAGACTCGTTACAAACCTCTCGTTTCTCTTGAGATTTATAACTCTATAGAATATCGTCAGAACTTCAGTACAATCATACTGCACTTCTTTATTAAACTCAAACCAATTCCAGAAAGAAATATTACAGACGAGTGTGGTGGTACCTAACACACACACACAGTTTTTTTTTAAAGAACGTCAATCGTCACTTGAACTACTTTAACGGAGTTGAGTTTCACGAGTTCCTTTTCGGTGAAGAGGACCAAAGTAAATGGAGTCTTCCATCTACTTTACGCATCTCTTGCATCCTTTCATCGCTGACGTGTGCCCCTTCAAAAAAAAATTAAGGGGAAAGATGCGTGACTATTTTCATATGCATGTGACTACTAGAGCTAAAGACTATGAAAAAAAAGCAAAAAGTAAACAAAAAAGGACGCAAAAAACAGAAAAAGACGAGCGACAACGATGCGAAACCTTATTTACCATCAGAAACTACAATTCTGCTCATGCGAATAGCTCATTATCTTATATATAACTCTCATCATATCTTTGCAGAAATGAGTTTGCCAGAACATTGCGCATTAAAGATCAATTCCCTAGTTTTCTCATTCAGCCTGACGTCCAATGTTGATTCGCGCATCCTTTTAACAGCCACTCATGATAGAAAGCAAGAGTTTTTAGGGTAAAAACCAGAATGCACACGCGTTTAAAAATTGTTAAAGTCTTGAAAGTACTTGGTATATATATGTACAGTCGATATCTGATTGATTTCTTAGAAATATAAAAGAGTTTTGACTATTACAAGAATAATATCTTAATTCTTATATATGGTACTAAAAAGTGTGTATACTTTTTAATATTGAACAATACAAGATACAGAAAAACACAAGAGAAAGGCCTCTTAAAAAGACTTGCTTTTATTTTATAGGATTTAGTAAAGTCTTCTAGAAGGAAATCGCTCTGTCAACATATCTGTTTTACACGCTTGATGGTTATTTTCTTTCTTGAGCCTCGATCTCTCCAAGCTGTTTGAACGTCGGGGTTTATTATATTTTGCAGGAAAGCACTTTGGTTTAGGTTACCGTATGGAAATCATTCGCAGACCTTCAAAGCACAAAGATCCAAGAGAACACATATACACACTGAATGAATCTAATATTTCTGTAATAACATTCACAGATCTTCAGAATATAATTACTTAAAAGCATTTTAAAAATAAAAAGGGTTTTATGCGATGGTCCGAATAAACAGGTCTATTTTTTATGAGCTTCGAGATTGTATTGTGTGTTCATTGAAGGTTATAATAGTGTTCGGATCGCTCAAAGGTTAGTTAAATTGGTTTATATAATATAAATGCACATTGAATATTATTGAATTTACCGGTGAAATGAAAAGTGTAATAAAAAAAGGGCATTTTGATCAAAATGGCAAATCAAATCTTGAAATTCAGCTATAACTCTATATCGGTTAAGTCAAGCTACTTTTTATATATAAGCAACCTGGTGGAGTACATTATGATCCATCATTCAGATGTTGTTTGACATTGATTGCATAAATACCAGACAAAATATCTCATTTTTTCACTCTAAAAAAAACAATTTACTAATAAGATTTTGAATATTTACACCATATAAGCATATTTGATCCAAAAGTTCTCTCAGGGTATTCACCTAAAAAAATCGGATATTTTTGTTTTTTTTTTGCTACCAAGTAAAATTGTTGAGCAAATTGATCCATGATCTCTAGTGTTTATTTGACTAGCAACAGACCAATATTCGTGGAGATATCAAGAAATGTAAAAATGGCAATTTCGATATTTACACCACGTAAGCGTGTTTGCTCCAAAAGTTACCCAGGACATACACCTAAAAAAATCAAATGGTTGTGTTTTTGTTTATTAAGTAAAGTTGTGTACTAAATAATGAGATGATGCTAAGTGTCTGTTTGACCAACAGCAGACCAATATTGATGAAGATATCGAGAGATGAAAAATGACAATATTGATATTTACATCTTAAACGATATTTGTAAATGTCCGTCAATAAAAGGTTGGTGTATTCACAAAAAATGATTCGCATTATATGATGGACAGACTCTATAGTTTCTTTTGCACAGAGTATTATCAGAACAGTAGTGATGTTTGTAAGAATAAAGCATTTAATTATGTATATATATATTTTCTTATAGATTTTTTATTTTTGCATTTGAATTTTACTATATTTCATATGAGCAACAACAGAAATAACAACGGCAATACTTCTTAGAAGAAAAACGTATTTTACAAATAAAGTACATTGTAATCAAAATATGGGAATATATATGCTTAATATTTGATATATGTGTATATTGTAGCCTTAGGTTTTTTTATTATTATTATTATGAGCATTATATTAACAAATAATAGTAATTAGCAGAGAACGAACTAAAAGGCTCTAAAATAAATCACCATGTTGCGATTTTACTGTATTTATTTTTGGTAGACAGCTTCATATACTTGTTTCAAGACAAATTTCTTGAGAATAAGTTTCGAGCTTTATTTTTGTGGGTGAAGCATATTTACTAAATGATGCTTTTGAAAGTAATGAATTTCCTAAAACTATTATTGCTCTTTTGAAAATTGAACACGCAAGTATATATGTATGTGTAATAAAGGATATGGATAAAGATGCCGTATATTTTCTCCAACTGTAGTTGTAATTTGTAATTCTGCTGCTATTTCCTTAAATAACATTTACACTTGCACTCACTGTTGATTGCCAAACTATTATTAAATTCTTTGATGAATAGTTTTTCTTGGATATTTAATATGTTGACAGATATTGCAAATACAATCCAATTTAGATATTGCAAATTATGTTACTTTATATGGAAAATGCACGGGCATCTGTACGATCCTTCTCTCTCTTTGTCTTTCACTTGTTGCCATTTGTGCTCAGATATGAAAAAATATTTTAATTTGTAGTGCAATATTAATTATCGTGATTATCAAAACATAAACCAAGAAGAAAAAAAGGTCATTTTCTCTAAATGAATGAATTTATGAATGAATAAACGAGAGTGATATTCTGTAAAATTCCAAGAAAAACAAGGGTTGATTGAATTATAACTACCTTACGTATTATTGCACCAGCTATTAAACATAATTAATTTTTATGAGCCAAAATAACTCTTTTCTTGGAATTCATATACCTTTTCAATAGAAATGACTTGTATTAAGGTCAGCTAGATTAGTTGTTTCGGGTGTGCGACCAAACTACATTTTATTCTCTTTACATATTCACTTGAATACTCAAGATAGGAGCTGTATTTTATCTTTAAAAATCTTTGTGTACCATTTGAAGAGAATCAGAATTACGGAAATAAAAAGGGAATTCACGTTTGTTAGGAATAATTATGTGAATTCCACCTACTGATTTTGCTGCTGTGTAAATGTGGCTAATATAAATAAGTAATTAGATAAATCAAACGGTTCCTTCCAATGTACCCCCCCAAAATGAGGATTTATTTCGGAGGTAGCGGATAAGTATAGCCATAATCGTCAATAGACCCGGCCCAAATATCTATGCTTGGCGCTCACTACAAAATAAAATAAAAAAGTAACTTTCCGTATAATCGGACATTTCTCTCTTACTCTCTTATATTATATTATATTATATTATATTATATTATATATTTTATTTATATAATCAAGTTTAAAATTTTGTAATTATTCTTATTTGTTGAGATCGAATGGCTTTGTGTAGATTAAATGAACACAGCAGGATTGATCTTATTTTATTCGCTTTATTCAATTTATTAAAATTTGCTCAATTTTTACTACCTGTATGCCTTTTTCCTTTTTCATCTTATTTTGGCTTGGAAATCTATTATGTATATTGTATAAAGAGGTTCATAGATGAGTTTCCTTGTAGATAAAGAAGTTTTATGTATTAATTTATTACAAGCATTAAAGAAATATGTTGTCTTACCCTTTCGGATTAAAGTTTTTCTTTTATGATATAATAAAGAATGTCTATCCAGATCGCAGTTTAGTTTATTTCTTACATATAAATAGCAGTAAAATTGTGCTTTGTACTAGGGAAAGATATATTACACTCAACATCTCGACTATGGCACCACTTTGACAATGATGGTTGTACCATGATCGTCATAGATAAAATAAGAAAAATAATAAAACAACAGAATAAAAATAAATGTTAACAGCATCTTTCTTAGTAATAACATTTGGATATCAAGAATAAGTATTATGCTATCTTATATTGCTCTTCCTTTAATAGCCACTCTACACACTCTCATTGACCCGAGATTTCTTCCAGAATCCCTTATTGTTTTTTTTACAGAAGAACAAGAACAAGGAAGCAGGATACGATGGTCTGTTTCACTTGTGTAAAATTAATGTAAAATTAATGTAAAATAAAATAAAAGCCAAGATAATAAGAATATATAAATTAGCCGTAGATAAGCGGGTTGAAAATAAATAAATATAGTAATATATAATATAAATACATATAAATACATATACATAAAGGAAGAGGGGAAGAAGTGTTTGTAATTTTCTAGATTAGCTGGAGATCTATATGTTTTTTTTTTCGTATTGATACTATTGTCCATTTGTTTGGTGGCTTTTAGAGCCATTATATTTTTATTATCTTGACATATAATAGTATAAGACTTTTGTCTGTAAAGATCACTGTCTATCTATAATGTATAATGTACCCAAGACAAAACATAAAGTTTAAAAATTAAAATTTATGTGATATTTGAAACACGTAGGTTTAATTGTATAAATAATTGAAACAAATAAAGAAGAATAAGAAGAAAAAAAAAAGAAAAATTTCTTATATTTATAATATATATGTATATATGTACTTTAGCATTAATAAAATATAGTTTTGCAAAATAGCTTTATTTATACCAATTCACTGTAGGCTGTGCAGCCGTCAAGCAAAGGTGTGATCACCATATTGCCTTTGTTAGCCTATTTGTCCCTCCTTTGAGTTACGTCTTCAAACTTTAGCAATTAATGAAAAAAAAAAGAAAAAAAAGAAAAAAGGAAAAAAAAATGAAAAAAAGAGAATGAGAAAGTTTTTTACATTATTCTCATCATCATGGCATCTAAATTACCCTCATCAATCTTGGGCAACATTGCAAACAACCTCATTACCAGAGACAAACTTCAAGCCTCAATCGTTTGCAAATCGTGGCGAACTCCATTTCAAGATTCCTTGTGGAAAGAAATTACCCTCACAAGTAACTCTCAAATAGCCGAAATTTGTGATAGATCTAATCCGCGCCACAAAATATACCAAAAGAATGGACATCTTGTACGCAGACTATATAGCGGATGGTACATATCCATAAAAGATGTTCAACTATATATCTTACAAAGATCCTTTCAAAACCTCACCCATCTTCACATCCAAGGCGACACTCTCACTAGAAATGATTTTGGAAGAGAAGCAGATTGGGGGCTTTGGAAAGGATTGGAAGAGTTTGAGATCAGTGCACCTAGACTCGGCTCAAACAACGACATCGAGTACCTCTTTAGTATCCTATCTTTCTTCCCGGGACTAAAGAAATTCACGATGACAGAAAGCTACTGTCACAATTCTGAAGGCTATTCATGGAGACACATGGAGATCATACATGAACTTTTGCCCAAACTCGAAGAGCTACACATAGACATCCCCTTGACAGAAATATCTGCAGAGGATATAAAACTATTCAAAACGATCGTATTACCCACCAGAATTACCAAGCTGACAGTCGCTGCCCAAAATATTCGGTTTGAGTGGATATACTACTTCTCTATTAAATACCGCAACATCCACACACTCACATGGAACAATTCTATCGAAAAAGAAAGCGCAACCTATGAAACTCGGTCAGAAGCCAGAGCACTCGTTTCCGAAGTTAAAACCATCTTTCCAAATCTCAAACACGCTTATTTTGAAGGCAATGGATCAAGAGCAGACTCAGAGCACCTCTCAATACGTCAAACTCTGGCCCATGCTGGCGTTTTCTTCAAGTCCTTATACTACAACGTACGTTGGGACTTTGACAAACCTGAGCTGGTCGAAAAGTTCTTCATCGACTGTCTGTACTACTTTACGTCAACAATAGAGAACTTTACGCTTATATCCACAAATAGCTTCAGGGACGTCTGCAAGGTCCCAATGACAATCATCAGATGCCCTGTTCTGACAAATCTAAACCTCATTCTTCCCGAAAGCTTTGTAGCATTCGACCACCTTCTTGATCAATGCACCTCTCTAAAGAATCTCAAATTAAGCCTCCGGGAAATTTTCATCAGTCCAGGTGCATCTCTTACCCCGCCCGAACATGGTCTAAAGTCACTCTTTTTTATCGAGGCACGGACCACCCCCAGATTATTTACCTATATTTCGTTACGTTGCAGACGACTGACAAGTATGCGATTGGACGGCTTAAAAGTGATTGGACGCATTGACAAAGATACTGGAACTCTCCGGTTGGATATGTCCCACACAAAACTTGAATTCTTGCTTCTCAGCTGCATCAGATTCTACTCGCTTCCGTCTCCACCTCCATCATCACTATCACATCTGTCACAATCACAATCACAATCACAATCACCACCTTCATTATCATCACCAGCAGCAGCAGTAGCAGCAGCGGCATCCTTATCATCCTTATCATTATTATCATTATTAGCATTATCACCATTATCACCACAAAACAGTAAAGATGACGAAACAAATAGCGAGGAAGATGCAGTCATGATTAATCTACTAGCGATAGAGCAAACAGGTCATATTCATTCCATTGACTTTGACAGCAAGATGTGTATTCCTACTAGCCAAAGTGCAATTTCCCTGCTTCAGGATAATTTTCAAGTCTGGTTCCATTACTACCTCGGAAACACCCCTACTGGTCTAAGTGGGATGATGCAAAGACTCGATCCAAAACAAAGCAAGTATGCTCAAACGTACTTTAGATCGTTTCAGCACAAAAATGACTCTGGCTTAGAGCCTTCACACATCACACGTGGGGACTATGAGTGGGGACCGAAGAATATGTGGAAGAATGATCTCAATCGAGGATGTGCAAAATGGTACTTTGATTCTGTGGACAGGTACCGCGTCAAGGGTTTTGAAGAGAATATTGAGCATGATTCGTATACATTATCTACAATGGATACCGTAGACTATTAAACTACATCATCTTGACTCATAAAAACCAAATCAAACCAAACCAAACACAGCACAGCACAGAATAGCACAGCACAGAATAGCACAGCACAGAATAGCATAGCATAGCATAGCATAGCATAGTATAGCACACCAAACAAAAAAGCAAGAAAAAGTTGATTAAATGATTTTTATTATTATTATTATTATCATTATTATTATTATAATTATTAAAGCCAAATATTAAAGTATTAAAGTTATTATAAAAGAAAGAAAGAAGAAGTATGTATATATTATGTGTATGTATATATGTATGTGTATGTGTATGTGTATGTATATATGTATATGTGTATGTACCTATATTTATATAATGCTATTATATATAGTCAATGTCCCATTTGAACCCTTTGAGAAGATATCTTTCTATGGATGAGCATCTGACAGATACATAGCCTCGATGAAGATCTCGAGTCCATGAATCTCCCATAGCTCCCCGTTCGTGATATGACATCCCTGATTCTGGTTTTCTGTACTTTGCAATGTTATTTTGAAACGAGTCAAAGTATCTTTTGGCGTAGGTAGCTTGTTCATTGGTCAAAGTTCGCAAGTACGTATCCAGATATGTGCGGGCATAACCATGCTTGGGATAGCTTTGGAATTGATGAATCCAGATTGGCTTTGAATTGGGTACGGGGTGATAGATACCAGATATCTCGACGCCTGCATCAAGACTACCTTCCAGTTCAGGAGTAATGCTTGGTTTGTCAAGAACAATAAAGTTGATTGCGGTATCATAAGTACAGTTGGCTCCAGATGATTGATAGAATGTTACGTCCGTAAAATCCAGAGTTTTAAGAGATACGTTGGAGATATCGATGGTCAAATTCCCGGTTTCTTGTAAGATTGATCCTCGAACCTTGATACTTCTCAATGAAAGATTCTTCAATTGCCGACATCGTAAAGAGATATAATTAAGCGATTCTGAACTGAGACTTGCGTGCTCAAACTTCACTGATTCCAGTCCGTGCAGGGAGATAGTATCTGACGTTCTTTGTGATACAACAATGTTCTCTGAAGATAATCTCAGGGTTTTCAGGGCAGGACAACGATCCAGAATCCGATCCAACCAGATTGAGCCCCAGCTTGAATAAAGATTCAGCTCAACTAGATTTGTCCAGAAAGTGAGGTCAACTAGAGGCATCCATTGACTTGAATAGTCATAGCATTTTAAGGTGAGCGTCTCAAGGGTTGATACGTTTGCATCAATAAATTTGTAGACGACATCTTCTGGTGTTTGCTGTGAGACTAAAAATATATATTCATAAAAAAAAAGAATAGAGAGAATTAGAAAAAAATTAAATAAAAATAAAAGGTGTGGTAGAAAGCACTGTGGGTACGTTATATATATATTCTACTCTAAAACAACCCCTAAAGCCCTGATTTTTTTTTGGAAAATTTTCGCCCCAAAAAATGCCCCTCCTCCTATTCCTCTTCTTCCTTTACTTATTCTTATTTCTCTTCTATTAATTGTGTTATATTACCATATTGCGAGTTGCTTTTAGACTCTGCAGTGTATTCGATATTCTTCAATTTTAGGCCGTGCTCATAAAGTAATTTACAGAGTACTCCGTGTGGGTATTCGTTGTTTTCGCATTCTTTAATTGAGATTGTTTCAAGACGGGGAAATATATTTGACAGCTTTGAAAGCAACAATCTGTCGGTTCCATAGTCTGCGTATGTTGTGTCAGGATTTGCTGCAATGTTGCATCTGAATGTGTGTAGGTTGGGATATTTGGAAGCAAAGTAGTACAACCATGGGATATCGATTGACTCATAAAAGAAATTCGCAGTCGTCAAATTGTTTGCTGGCGAGATCGTATCGATCTCTTCAATGTCTTCTGGGTATATTGACTCAAATGCGACATCCATCTGCAGATATTCGAGCTGAGGAAGGTAGGTGTGTATGACTTCAAGAGCTTGCCATCTATATGGAATATTTCCGCTTCCATAATCTTCTGTGATATGTAGTTTCCTGAGATGTGGCAAGAGTGACAAAGCGTAGAGCATTTCTTCCATGTCGTCGTCAGATTCCATTCGTTGCTTGTAGATTTCTAGATCTACCAATGATGACCAGAGACTCCAATCAGCGTTGGTCTCGGATATATCCAAGCTCTGAGATACGGTTGGTATTTTGAGGTGTTTGATATTGTTAAAAAGGGATTGTATAGTATGGAGTTGTTTGTCGTTTATGTTGAGTCTTGTCCCAAGGGTCAAGCTGGTGACAAGGCTTCCAAATTTCTGATAGCAGCTTGGGTTGGTGGTTGATACTCTGCAAATAGTGTTGAGTGTCTGTTTGTCGCTGATAGTGATAGAGTCCCACATGGACTCTTGGAATGGTGAAGTCCATGCTTTACAGACTGTGGTGCAGTTGAGTTTATCTTGAGTGGTCAAGACTCCCGCAATCTCCAAAAGAATTTCGAATGGTAATGTTGACATGTTTGCAAAAGAGCAATAGAGTTAATTATTGTCTAGCTTTTTTTTTTCTTCCTTTTCTTCTTTATTTCGATTAGAATGAATTTTAACTATTTTATTCAATACAACAGAAACACAAGAAGTCCAATAAAGGCAATTGGCCTGTAAAAAGGCACACCAACTGGGGTTTAATTACCAATTGTGAGCTGAGTAAGACCAAAGATGAATTACAGCGCAATTCCTATTGGACTGCTTTATTTTACGGTTATTGCTTTCTGCCCTCTTTTTACCACAATACTTGTGCCAAAATGTTCTGTTTGAATAGCTTTCCACAATGCATCATGTGCCTTCGTGGATATTATCCCAATATGTATGTGTCTTAAATGGAAATTATTTCTCGTTTTGGATATCAAAAATTCAGAATATAGCCTGACCACACTTGCTTAGTATGACCCCTTTCTAGTATTACAGTACCTCCACCGCCAATTGAACAATCCTTTTTTTTATTCTTTTTTTTTTTGCTGAAAATAGCAAGTAGTTGGATAATAGAGAGATAAAAAAGCATTTCATTTTTCAGTAGTTTGGTCCAAAAGAAGGAATCTATTTGCCCACATGTTTGAAAATAAATTGGTCATTTCATAAAAGTACATTTGGTCATACTCATCGTTTACAGCTCATTTTAGACTGCATTGTGTTGGTTTTCTTATAGCAAATGATATAGAGTATGTTTAATATGGTAGCAGAAGTGTGTCCTTAAACGTTACGGCAATGAAAGGAAATTCTTAGTGTTGAATGAAATGCTTATCTACCCAACAAATTGACTTTTTCCACACCTTCGTCTTAACACGCTGTCCATATCATTTTGCATTTGTTTTTGTCCAAGAACTTCTTCTACAAAGCTGAAATATTTACTCTTAGTGATTTGTATAGGTGTAACTGAAATAGAACCTTGTCCAATGCGCTGTTTCTTGGATATTTTTTTTGTGGAATATATACAATGTTGTGCATACTTTGCGACACGTTGTTGGACAGGCGAGTAGGCAGAAGTATTGTTATTGACACCTTTTTGATTTTATTGAGTCATTATCGTATTGTAGAATAATTCAATATCCGTTTCCTAGACTACTCTGGTGTTCAGCTCATTTGTAATCTTTGTTGTAACTCTGGATTAGCATATTCTTCTAATGCAGTAATATGCTTTTATTTCTGTGTCATGAAATGGACCAATGCAAGCATATCTGATAATGTACTTGCTTGGAAGCATTTGACTATAGAGTTACTTATAGACCAAGATCTTTTTCTTATTTTTTTTTTGCCCACAATAGACTGTTCAACTCATAGAATGATTGTTTATTAGCCTTTGTAAAGCTTTCGTCTTAGATCTCTTTGCACAAAAACCAATCAGTATTAATAATTACCAATATTATTGGAGGCGAACATGTACCATACAAATATTCAAATGATAGTCCATTGCCCTTGCAATAAAATTACCCGAAACCAACTTTTGAGCTTCTACTATAACAGGCGTCAGATTCTTGACAAAAGCACTAATTATTGAAATAATATGCAATAACTTACAGCCTTTTACTATCCTTGTATTGTGGATACTGGTATTTATGACTCATTACTAGTTATGGAATCTTACATTTTACAAGCGTCTCTTGTCAGAAGGCTTATTCCAGGTGACGAAAAGCCCAGTAATTCTCGGTTGTCCTCCATACGAAGGTCGCATGTTATGAAGTTTTTGAGAGGTGAACTTATCAGGAATAATCTGATGAAGCCGAGGTCGAATAGATAACGAATCAATGAAGAGATGTCACTGTGCTATACGAATGTCGTATGGAATACGAAGTTTCTAGAACTATATCCAAAACTATTACGAATAATACATTCCAACCAGAAGTATACAAGGATTTCCATTAGCCATTGCGATTTTAGTGTTCCTATACCTCCAGGGTATATTTATTTTAACTTTTATCATTGGTTTTCCATGGGTCTTACATGATAGACACAATAAAGAAAGCGGTATATTATCTTAGGTACTACCATTATCAGCGAGTTCAAAAAGAGCTTGTAGGTTTGGGCTTATAACAAAAGGTCCATGTGCAAGTTGGGATTCGCTTCCAATGATATTTGGTAATTAATACTGATGGGTTTTTGAGGAGACTACTAAAAAACACACAAACAAAAGCTTTATAAAGGCTAATAAACAGTCATTCTATAAGTTGAACTGTCTATTGTGGGCAAAAAAAATAAGAAAAAGATCTTGGTCTATAAGTAACTCTATAGTCAAATGCTTCCAAGCAAGTACATTATCAGATATGCTTGCATTGGTCCATTTCATGACACAGAAATAAAAGCATATTACTGCATTAGAAGAATATGCTAATCCAGAGTTACAACAAAGATTACAAATGAGCTGAACACCAGAGTAGTCTAGGAAACGGATATTGAATTATTCTACAATACGATAATGACTCAATAAAATCAAAAAGGTGTCAATAACAATACTTCTGCCTACTCGCCTGTCCAACAACGTGTCGCAAAGTATGCACAACATTGTATATATTCCACAAAAAAAATATCCAAGAAACAGCGCATTGGACAAGGTTCTATTTCAGTTACACCTATACAAATCACTAAGAGTAAATATTTCAGCTTTGTAGAAGAAGTTCTTGGACAAAAACAAATGCAAAATGATATGGACAGCGTGTTAAGACGAAGGTGTGGAAAAAGTCAATTTGTTTGGTAGATAAGCATTTCATTCAACACTAAGAATTTCCTTTCATTGCCGTAACGTTTAAGGACACACTTCTGCTACCATATTAAACATACTCTATATCATTTGCTATAAGAAAACCAACACAATGCAGTCTAAAATGAGCTGTAAACGATGAATACGATTGATTTATTTTCAAACATGTGAGCAAATAGATTCCTTCTTTAGGACCAAACTACTGAAAAATGAAATGCGTTTTTCTTTATCTCTCTATTATCCAACTAATATCCTCAACCACGAAAAGCACAGAAATAAGCAAGTACATCCAAACTATATACTGCATGCACCATTTGTACCAATGTTTCGCACACGAAAAAAAATTCAGACATTGATAAAAATAATTATCAAACATAGAAAAATTAAAACAAAAAAATAAGCACATGACTAGTAGAAAATTTCAAATACCTTTATTGTTTTTGCCTTTGTCATTATCAATCTTACATTAAGAACAAATATGAAATCCAAGAACTTGAAGCATGTATAATAGAGTACTTTACTCAAAGCTCTTTAATGTTCCAGTGGCTGTTTATTGTTCGTATTCGAAGAGGTTTTCTTTTTTATTCTTTTCTTTCGAATTACAGGTCAATTTAGCACTATCCCACACTTTGTCCACTTTAAAAATATGGATTTTATTTTTATTTTTGTCTGAAATTTAGTATTATTATTTTTTTATGTGCGAAACATTAGTACAAATAGTGTATTTGATATCCAAAAGGAGAAGTAATTACCATTTAAAGCATGTCCATATGCATATAAATGGTTCTTTTACATTTACATTTACATTTACACACACACACACATATATATATATATATCTGGTTTTCCAATTTTTCGGTTCTGATATCTATTTATTTGTCTATCTATCTATCGGTCTGTCAGTTGGCTTGGCTGTCTGACTGGCTGTCGTTATTACGATCTTGTAGCCAGGAACAGCTATTAAAGGATATACATAAGACAATCCATGACAGCCCTTTTAAAAAATAATCTCAAAATCTACCTATAAAGTAAAAATCATTGTTGATTTGGCAATTTTCATCACTTCAGTAACCATTTACTTAATCTATTCTTTTGCTTACCTTTTTAAGATCTTTGGTGATTTATTGCCTTTTTTCTTATTTTTGCCCACAGGATTTTCTTTCTTTTCTTTTAAATACTACGCTCCGATATTTTGCCGTGAAAAATATAGAAGACTTTATTAGTGATAAACGAGCCACTTTATTATATACATGGCCCTTTTTTGTTCTTCTCAAATAACTCATTTTCTTTCACTATAATTAAATGCTTGCTTTATTAATATCATTAGCAAATATTCCACTCATATCGCTTCTTACCATCTCCAGCGAATATATCAATATATATATATATATAACAATGGCCAAGTCTATCGAACTTGAGGATATACCGCAATTGCATTTTGAAATAAACCATGCTTTATAATACAATTGATATAGAGTGTATTCAATAGTACTCTTATTGCTTTGAGGTCTTCTATTACTATCATAATCTCCTATAATATAGACTCTCCTTCCCTCTATCTTTTTCTTTTTCTATAAATTGTTTATACTACTATATACGAATATAATTTCTCTAGCTTTTTACAGATATAGAGTATAGCCTATAGATAGCATGTTGATATTTGGGAAATTTAGAAATCTAGGAATCTAGGAATCTAGAAACATATATCATTGTTGTACTTTCAATATATTAGTAATTTATTATATGTTTTTCAATACTGAAAAGAAGAAAAGAAGATATCCGGATATAAATCAGTTCACAAGTATGACTCTAGATATCTCCAAGAAAATCCCTTTTTATCTTCGGTCTCTCCGTTATTAGCATAGCATTAAATGAATGTTATCATGTACTATTAAACAAGAGCAGCCCCAAGTATCAATTGATAAGCAACATGCTGATAGAAAAAATCACTTTTAATTATACAATAATCACTATTTTACCTTCACTTTGACTTCTTTTTTAGAAATAGTCATAGGCAAGTTATTGTACCTCTCAATATCTAATCACGCCAGGGATTACAGATATTATGTATTTTGTGTGCATACTTGATACAAAAAGGGAGAGGAGACAATCTTCGTTTATATATTTTATATACACAAACATTTTGGTTACTTCAACGCCATTATAGGCTTACTTTTACTCCCTCTTTAATCTCACCCGGTTATCGATCTCAATCGATAAATTATATATATTGTTATTCAAGGCGCATGCATAAGGTATATCAGGTATGCAGTCTGTTAATGAAATCTACCTCTCCATAAATTCAGTATGGGTGGCATCATACTATAATTACACCATTTTGTTACAGTGAGTGTTGCCTATGGGCTTTGTCATTTGATGTGATGCTTTCAATTCAATGTGTGGGACAGACTTGGAATACCAACTCCATGTAAGTTATTGAAAGAATAGCACTAGCTTCTTTTGGGATGTGCAAAAGCCCTTGTGTCTTCTGTTTATTCTTACTACATGCCCGTAAGGCTTGGATATTCTCATAAACACTTTTAAGAATATTTGTATGTAGTTGTGATATATCATAGCCCCCCTTTTTTTTTAAAAAAAAACATGGCTTAAATTATATAAAAAAGACTTGCAGGATGCTAAATCTGTTTCATATTATGCACTTTATTCATAAATTGTTCAAGGTGTTGGTCACAGATCGAGGGCCGCCGAGATAATCAAACAATTGACTAAATTTCGACTCCTTTATTGAGCTTATAAACGATAGGGAAATAAAGATAAAGTCAAAGATAAAGAGATAATATATATATATATATATAGTTAATTACAAAAACAGACAAACCAAAAAGTACACACACATACATACATACACAATTCCTTTACTTATATATCTCATCCGAGCCAAACCCGGGTTCTGTGCAGCTTGTTAGTACTTAATCAAGTTTTTGTTTTGTTGGGGAGATGGTAAGGGCGTGTCACAGTAGTGTTGCTTTTGGTTGCTATAGCTTTAGATGTATCACTCCAAACAGTTATCTCCTTATAATATTCTTGAAACCCCATTATTTTGTAGTTAAGTTTATGGTTGTGGTTGTGGTTGTGGTTTTGATCGTGGCTGTGTTCGTTCCGATCGCTTTGGTATTAGGCCTTTTTTTTAAAAAAAAAAAGAATAAAGAGGAAAGGTCGAAAGTTTAATACAAACAACCTTTCTTTAGCTTTTCCTTCTAGCAATCGGAGACAATTATCTTTTTTTTTTAAAAAAAAAGGCCCTGAAAAGCTTCTCTCTCTTTGGTTTGTGCTTTGGGGTATATGTGCTATATATATGTATACTACTTGGAATATTTGTCTAGGATGTTCTCTACTAAGATTGTGCGCAAAATCTAGTACACTTGCTTAACGTTTGGGTTGAATAAAAGAAAACTCTTTTTTATCCCTTGTTTTAATCCACTACCAATGTAGTAACTGCAGTATATAATTTGTTAAAATTCTATGTCTTGCATAAAAAGCCGTCCCCTTTATATTTCTTGTTTTTAATTTTAAGTTTTATTCTTATCAATTATAACAATGAGACTTCTTTCACTAATATACCAGATCGATTCATAAATAAAGTAGATATAGGTGTGTATTGGGTAAAGCAGATTCAAGCAAGATATTAAAGTCAACAGAAAATAAAGAATATAGAAAGTTATTACTACAATCATAGACACCAAATAGTATAAAGTGTAAAGTGTATGTAAAATGCAATGAGGGAGTCATATAGGAAAGCCTTAGGACCTGTAAATGTGCACAGGGCTCCACGAACACTGCCAGATAAGCTCACAACGTGTGATATAAAAAATCTTGAAAAATATTTTGATGGTTGTCTTTCAAAGCTGTCCCATGATTTGACGATGGGAAAGGTCACTAAAAGGCTACATGACTGGACAGATGTAAGGTAACAAAAAGTAATTAAAAAAGCGTGCCATTATCATACGATACAAAAAATAGATTAGCTAAAATTTTTCTGAAATAACCTTTGTAAGAAGTAACTCGTATCAACTTCTACACAATGTTACTATCTACCGATAAAGACCGAGAGTTTAATATGACTTTAAAGAGGATGAGATATAATATGTGCATAAAGTAATCAAAGTGGATTACACATTTAAGAGTATACTTTACGCAATTCCATCTTAAGCTTAGATAGCTTGAAAAATACTTGGATGATATTCCAATGTTTTGATTAGAAAAGAAGTTTGGCTACATCTTTAGCTCACTCAAGACCAATATCAGCTTGTGGGCGAGCTGTCAAAGATATTATGTTTCTATAACAAATTCTATATACTACAAAAAGACTTAGGTAGGAAGATGACCTGCCCACTCTACTCTACTCCCCTCTCCTCTATCAACTTGCTCGTTTAAAGAGCTCTTGCACACCTCCAATAAAATAAGTGTATAAAGTAAAAATGAGACATTCAAAAGATAAAGATTTTTTGCCTTTTTGCCCAAACAAGTATGCCAAATAAATAATGATAATAACACTTATATGTATATGGCTATATATAATACTTATAAAAAAACCGTGCAGACAAACAAGGATTGATTTGATTTTATAAACTCGTTTCTACCTGCTCATCCCAAGTGTCTTGGTTTTTTTTTAAAAAAAAAATAATCTTGAAAATTACTGTCAAGATCTTTATAGTCAAAGCTCGATATGGTTATAGTAATGAGAAAATCAAAAAAGCATATTACTACTACTATCATTACAATTATATATCGTAAAGGTTATTGAATTTGCTGCTGAAATAAAAATAAAAATAAAAAAATCATTTTGATCCAAATGAGCAAATGGAATCCAAAAAATCGGCTACAGCTCCAAAGTAATCAAGCAAACCGCTTTTAAATGTATAAGTAACCTAATAGAGCATATTTATATCTATCACTTCAACGTTATTTGACATTTATTGCTTCAATATTGATTAAAATACTTTATTCTTTCACTCTAAAAAACCATTTATTGATAGAAATATGGATATTTACACCAAAAAGTCCAATTTTGATGTCATCTTTTCCTCAGGATGACACGGTGGTTTCTTGTATCGCTCATCGCAGTGAACTTCGAAGTAGTGATGTAGCTGTAGAAATGATTCTAAGTAGTTAAATAGCTCTTTTTATTTGTTCCTTAATAAAATTGTCTTTCCACCCATATTTATTTTCTTGTCACCGAGTTGGACATTTGCACCACATAAATAACCCACCGTGTGTCATGTTAATGTGTTATTTTCTTTTACTTCTATTTCATTGACTTTTAAATGAATCTGTTTGCTCTTCCGAGTTATTTTTCAATTAAAAGGTCTAAGGGCAAGCATTATACGATGCTTGTAAAAATTCTTCGACTCCTTCTCCAAGAACAATGTCAATAAGGTAGTTGTAGCTCATTGTTGTTTTGTTTTAATAAAAAATATTGCAAAATAAAGAGCACAAGAAATAATACAAAAAATGCACACACTATGATGGCATTTTAGAGGTCAAGTACTCCAAAGATATCTTGAGTAACATATAGCTTCAAAATTGTTTTGGGAATGGCTTGGGCGATGGGTCTGTTGGAACGCCAAGCTGTAAGGTCTAAGGTCGTGAAGAGCACCTTAAATAACTGCCATTTTTTATTAAGTAAAAAATGGTAGTTATGTTACAATTTTCTCCGCCGTAGTGGAACTCACACCATCTCGCAGCTAAATGTTACCAGGTAACAGTGCATTGTGTGTCGTTCTTAACACAATTGCTGTTGGCTCCACCCCGACTTCAGATATGGTATTGGCTCTCCTAGCCGCGCTTTTATTTTCAGAAAATACAGAATATTCGTATCGAAATCACCGTTTATGACATAAATTTGAACGCAACCGTAAAAGCAAATGGCCAAAAATACAGTATCGAAATAGCCATGAACGCAAATTATGATATAGCACTGGACGATGGTTATATTATTATCATTAGCTTAAAATAATAAAAAAACAATTGAAATATTGATATAATGTAAGATACACATGCAGTATTATGAAGGTTTAGTGAAACACAGCATCTGATTTCACAGTAGATGTGTTAATATGGAGCAAAATATTTAACAAATATTCTCAATTTGGGTCCATGGCTATTTAGATAGTGTATTCTACATCAAAGACATATGAGGGAAATTTTATTATTCAAAGATTTTTATAAAATAAATATAAAGTAAATGTAATATAGTATAAGATGGTCAAGTTCATGCTACTTCAGTCCAGTCCAGTCGATTCCAGTCAAGTCCAGTTGATTTTTTTTGTCCAGTTGATTTTTTGAGCCTTTTTCTTTGTCCAGTCAATTTCACGGAATAGTAATAATGGAATAGTTTTGGTATTGAAAAGAATAAAAGGATGATTTGAACTTTTTTTTTTCTTGCTTTTTTTTTGCTTTTTTTTTGTCCGAACACAGCACACAGTAAAGGGGATAATTCGGACTTTTTGATTTTGAATTTTTTTTTTTGATTTTTTTTGTCCAGTCAATTTCACAGAATAGTAATAAGAGAATAGGTTTTGATATTGAAAAGAATAAGAGGAGGGGTTTTTGGTATTGCTCTTTTTGCTCTTTTTGTTTTTTTTGAGCATTTTTTTTGAGCATTTCTTTTGTTTTTGTTCAAAGACTTCATTTGCTTTGCATGTATATAAGGGGATTTCATACCTTGTCCTAATCCAGAGTCTTGTTCCAGTTCGCAGCCTTGCTTCAGTCCAGGTCCAGGTTCCAATGCAGAGTTCTTCCGGTTTGTTCATCTTTTTTTTTTTTGTTTTTTTAGAGGAGGACTTAGTATATGCCTGTTTTTTTACAGGACTTAATATAGGCCTCGGGTTCGGATTTCTTTTGATCCTTTTTTGTTTGAGTGGAGGACTTGATATGTACCTGATTATTTCTGATAGGTTTTGGTCTACGCCTCGGTTTTTGGATTTGATCCTTTTTGTTTGAGATAAGGACTTAGTATATGCCTTAGTTTCGGATTTCTTTTGATCCTTTTGGAGTGGAGGACTTAGTATATGCCTCGAGTTCGGATTTCTTTTAATCCTTTTGGAGAGAAGGACTTAGTATATGCCTGCCTTTTTTTTGCACAGGTCTTAGTATAGGCCTCGGGTTCGGATTTCTTTTGATCCTTTTGGAGAGGAGGACTTAGTATATGCCTGTTTTTTTTTACAGGACTTAGTATAGGCCTCGGTTTTGGTTTTTGATTTTTCTTTTGGAACTTGCTTTTGGAACTTTGCATTGGACCCTTTCTTGGAAATCGACTTGGTTTTGAGACTTGGAGGTACGACCCAGACTTTGGACTTGAATAGAAATGCGCCTCTACTTTTGTATGTATATATGTATGTGTATATGTATGTGTGTATGTATATGACTATGACTATTTGTATGTCTGTGTGTGTGTGTGTATAAGAAAGAAAAATAAAGAATAGAAATTGTGTGTGCTTGTGTGTGTGTATGTGTGTATGTATTTTTCTACTTCTCTAATTGTGTACTTCTCTACTTGTTTGTATATATCTGTGTGCTAGGACTAGTACTATACCAACACTTGGATAGTTTTGGACATTTGGACTTTGACTTGGACAAGACTCGGAATTGGACTTGGACATAAAAGCAAACCGTGGCTTGACCATTTCAGGGATTCTGCTAGTCTATGAGTTTCCACTTGAGATAGAGAGATAATTGTGAATATATTTTTTTTTGCTTCTTTTTTGCTTCTTTTTTGCATCTTTTTTTTGCATCTTTTTTTTTGAATTTTTTTTTTGTATCTTTTTTTGTATTTTTTTGTATCTTTTTGTATTCTTCTTGCTTGACTTGGTTCTTGCTGCTGTCATTCTTGCACAGGATTCAGGCTTCTGAATTTGCCGCATTATTGGAGTTGATAAGGCCGAATATGGCTTAAAAAGATAAAGAAGAAAATTAGTGAGAAAACGAGAAATATATTTAAATATAGGGCAGGTTTGAATGACTGAAATAACATACCTTAATTGAGAGAATTTGTTTCGTAAGGAAAGGAACTTGGCTTGGAATAGGTAACATCATCTGAAGAGACGGGCCCGGGACTGCAAAATGTTCTTCGATGACCGGGCGGAATGGACCTTGACCACCAGCAGGGGGTATACGAGACCACCAACAGTAAACAACCAAACTTCCAGCAGAAACAATGTGCCAACTTGCAGCGATGGGGTCAACCACAAAAGGGTTTGGCCACCAAATGGCAGAGGAGCTACCAGATCTTGGCTTACCACGCCAAGAACCCTAAATATATACAGGCATACAATGCAATGTACAATATTTCGAGGGGAGAAAAGGTACGACTAGCGTACCGAGCAGCTTTGCCTTTTGGTAAAGTCTAACGCTCCCAAACTCTCTCTGGTATCCTCTAAAGGGTTGTAGTATTGTGAGCCCTGTCACAGGGCGACCTTGAGAAGAAGAAGAAGAGCAAAATATCATATAATTAGTACCGAGACATGTTGTGTATAAATAGTACTTATCTTCTGGATGGACGGACCAATGGTTGATATTGTCTCTGACGAAAAAGTCTAGAGACAGAAGCAACCCTTGAAAAATTGCCTTATCGCTTGCTTTGTGGCTCACATTTTTTCCGCCTTGAGCTCTGTTGTTTACTACTGGCGGCCTCTACTTGTTCCTTGCTGGTGTTCTCGGCCCATAATATAAATCCGGTCATCTCAAATACCTTTTTTGCAGTCCTGAGCCAATAGTCTCGAATGATGATGAGGAATTTATTCTTGTTGTAACCGTATCCTAGTCGAGACTCTTCGTGTGCTTTTTGACCAACCCAGCGAGATGGCGAGACTCTGGGTCAGCTTACTTGATCTTAGGTTTGTTGTGCTTGAAGGTTTATATTCTTGAATACTTGGATACTTGAATGCTTGATATCATTTTTTCATGTTCATGTTCATGTTTATGTTCAAATTTGCTTTGATATTGGACCCAATTTTCCGTAAAAGTATATATATATATACATGGCTTGTATGCAGTTGTCTCGACTTGGTTTGGATAGGTTCATCGAAAGTAACCTTGCTTCTCCTTCACAGCTGAAAGTTTGCGTAAATGCCCTTCGACTCGGGTCTTGTTTTCTTGAGTATACGCATTTCCAGTTGCTAACTGTAACCTGCTTTTTTTGTGACAATTTCTAGCTCACCCTGCTTGGTCTGGTTCATTTACCAGACCATATTAATCAGAGTCCTCCTCAAATGAGGGTGGCTAGGACTCTAACCACAGGTTTTGCGTGATGCTTGAAATCATCGGCGAATTCCACGCTATCTCTTCAGTGACTTTTTTTTTGTATAGTCAGTTTATGTTGATTCAACTGATAAAGTCACTGATACCCAATTGATCAGTCATTGAAGCATATCCTTTTGTGCAGATGAACTTTGGTTTTGCCATCTCAAAATAGCTGCGGATGTCTGGACATGCATGTGTACGCATCGTTTGAGTCCGGACACAAGGACTGGTAGCAATCATAATGACTGATATACCGTCATGTCTGTGAGGGAAAACCTCGCCAATATTGCGTAGAAACTAGGTGTTTTTGGCTCGTTTTCCCGAAACCTCTTGGGATTGTCTACCCCCCAGCAATAGATTTTCCACAATCTATGGTGTAGCAAACTCAAAGTCCAAAAAGACTTGCCCGAGCCTACCAGTGAATCTTCGAAAACTCACCAGAAAAAAAAAGGGGGAGACTGAAGATAGCCTTCCAAGGACTTCAAGAAAGAGTCCGGCAAGGAAGCAAAACCCATTCGGTCAGACATGACTACATAATGAATACCGTGCCCCACAGTATTCATTCTCCCTGGCTTAAGCACAAAACTCAAGCTACAAAGGCCTTGAACCCAGGTACAGAACAGGCCAGAGACCCAGACAACCGCGATTTCCAGAATGAGATCAGAACGATACCAGAACGATACCAGAAATCTAGTCAACCAGACCAGACCAGCCAACAGGACCACCGTGGCCCAAAAACAACCCAGAATCAAGGACTCCGGAAGCCCTACTCGTACAGAAACCACCACTCACAGATCTCGGCCTCAGACCTGAGAGGAAGTCAACAAGAACCCTACGAACAAAAGGTTCAAGCCAACCCTACAGTAGTGCAAGCACCACCCTCGAATGTATACAAACAGCAAATACCAGAGGCAAACAGGATTGAAAACCAGTCTAGTACCACCACAGGTTACACTCATATGTAGACCTCCACAATCTACCTTCTCTTTATACTGTCTATGCCAAGCCAAGACTCAGAACCAAGCTAACAGGCGGAGCATGGTGTCGATCCCAGAGGGAAACGATAATCCAGTCCTTTGAATCTGAAAGCAGTAGGAACCGAACGTAAAAGAGGCTACCCTTACAGCTTAACCAAAAGACCCAACGTGAATCACCACGCAGATAGTTCCAAGGAAAAGTACTGTGAAAGGTCTGGGAATTCCAGTGTCACCATAAAACTTACCAGAAGCTTCAGGATCGACCTTTGGTTCCGACCGCATCGGCTTGGCTCCAGGGCCAACCGACCGACAAGATGTCCGCTTGGTGAAGCGTACAAATCGCATCTTAATGTGCAGACTTTTGAGCCGGTTCATGACTTGAATTACGCTGTGGCGTACTTTGCTTGTTCCTCTTTGCCTACCCAACCCTTCCCTGAGTCAGCGGCACCAACGCAGAAAAGCTTACGAGTCAAAGGGGGTGACTACAGCCATTGTCATTCTTGAGTTATCTGTCTGGGGATTTCCTGGAAGCCATATTCTTGTTTCCACCACCTTTTTACTGCTGGATGCAGCACCAGGCTTTAGGAACCAAGCCAAAGCAAATTTTTGTTTCTTAACCAACATTCGTTCACAATTATGTCCAAAGTCAACCGATGGAACCCAAAAGCTAAGCACAATTAGGCTTTCTCTTCTTGCTACTGGATGTAGCACGAGGAGTAGGCTTCACTGGCACCGAATCTTTGGCATCTTAGAAACCCTTTGCCTGGAATTCGGCGGCCGACAAACCGTTGTTTGTTGGCGCATCGAATGACTTCGCCGATTTCTTGCCCTTGACAAGAGAACGTTTAGGTCTCCCGACGCTAGTGGAAGACTCGACCTTGGGGTCCTTTGGCTGCTCCATATAAGCGCCGGAAGCCAGCGCTTTCAATGTCACAGCCATTGGAGCCTTGGTCTCGGCTTTGGAATTATCTGGCTGCTTCTCACGAGAGCCAGAGGTCAACTCGGTCTTTGTTGCAACCTTGGATTCCTTGGCCTTGCCCTTGGAATCCTTTACCTGTTCCTTGGCAGCGCGGGAAGCCAGCGCTCTTAGAATTCCAGGCATAGAGACCTTGGGCGCAGCCTTGGTCTCCTCTGGTTGCTGCTCGCGAGAGCCAGAGGCCAACTCGGTCTTTGCCGCAACCTTGGGTTCCTTGGCCTTCTTTCCACTTTGACTGACAGGCTTGGCTGTCTTTGAATGGTCCTTTGGTCCTAAGACCGCAGGAGTGCACTCTCCAACCTTCTTTGCCCCGTCGGCGAGCAGACCAGACACAGACGCAGGAAGTGACTCTCCGCCCTTTTTCTGTTCACCTGACTTTTTGGTACCGCGACTCTGAGGCTTCAGCGCAGTAACAGCGATAGGCGCATCCAATCGCATCACGTCGTGCTCCACCTTGTCGTCTACAACCTGTTGCGGGACACAGGCTGGGATCTTGTTCGTATCGCAATCCTTCTTTACAGACTGGGAGACGTACTGCAAATCTTCATCCATCGGATTGCAGGTGTGGGCCACGAGCTTTTCGCCACAAACAGCATCGGGCACCGCCACCTCGACAACATCATCATCAATCTCCATGGAGTTTTCAACTTCCACGACTTCACTCCAAGCCAGGTCGTCGTCAATCTCCATTGGTGTGGGAAGTCCTGTGGAGAGACATTCACCAAAGAAACCATTCACTGACTGCCAAGAAGATAAAGCGAACGCCTCATTGAGACCCTCCACTGTACCAGACTTTGGCTTTGGATCCTTTAAGCCAGCATTATCCAAACCCGATGGGGTCTGAACGGACTCTTGTTCTAAGACAAGAGTCTCTTCAGCTGACTTGGGAACCAAGCCGCACTCTGGTTCAGCGACTTCAGTCAATGAGTCGCGATGGGCTTTGTTTTCGGAGTCGTTGAGCTCCTCTTCCAACAACGCGTCAAGAAATCTTGCAGAGAGTCTTGGATGTGCAAAACCCTCTGAGAAAAATCTGTCACAGATGAATCTGAGTCGTACGCTGATCTCAGCTTCATCGCATACGTCTACAAGCTCACTCGACACACCCTCGCCGAGGTCTGCATGGGTTTCCCCACAGGTACCAGCTACGTCATTAACTGGGGACACCATTGTAGCGATGCCACATCCCAACTTGTGCAAAGGAAGGAGGTGAGGGACATATTCCCGAAGCCCTGCTCCAACGAACACGCTCGACTTTCCTACAGAAACAACGTCTTCCGCCTCCGAAGAGGAATCATCGACGGACATATGCCCTGGGATACCTCCGTGGCGCTCACTCAACAAGCTACCTGAGGGTTCTCCCGTTGTTCGTGAACCAGCAGACCACAAAGAGCCTAACCAGTTTGACAAAATGCCAAGGATTGTCTGAGGCATCACATTTTTGTGAGCTTCGACTTGATTCTCGCCATCTAATCTCGCGTCAACAAATGGGGTTGCACCCACTCCCGCCATGGAGGGGCGTCTTCGTCTTGCAGGTTTGGCCATGCAAAAAGCAGAGGGCAAAGGAGAAGCTTCCCATAGCATCACAGGGATGAATATGAGAGCTGGGACAAGTAGGTATGCGAGCGCGAAGGCTGCGCAGAGAGCGTTATAAACTTTGGAATTCATTGAGAGTAATGATGGATAAACAAAGTGCGAAGGAAAGAAAAACAGGGGAGGTGGGAATAACTGAGGTATATATATGTTTTTTTTTATGGTAGTCGCGCTGACATCACACTCTAAGCTACCAATATATCTGTCTATACGCCTTTATCAATTTGACACACATAGGTATTGGTAGATAAGAATTGTCTCCCCCCAAACAACTACCAAGCAACCTGTATATTTTCACATGATCGTTAATACAGGTACCGCACGCCCTCTGAGGATTACCACCCACACAAAAAGAACAACCAACCGGTTCATGTATATTTAACGCTTCTACACTGTGGTAAGCTCTTGTACATTTGTATCAACACCAAGTCCAAGTACCAAGAGGTCTGTACTTTACTGTTGTAAAAGGGCTTCATTATATGTTTAATACGCTCGTCTTGAATATGTTATTTTATTCTATTTTATTCTATTCTATTTTACTTTATTTTATTTATATTGTGTTGATTAAACCCCCGAAAAAATAAAATGAAAATTTTCTTCTGCTGGAACAAGAAGTGCACAGACCAGCTTAGAGTAACCTGAAAATTGCCGTTATTGAAGCTTGTACTCTGTCTTTAGAGTTGTTACTACAACTGATCAAAGTCAAGTCTTTCTTTACTTCTTTACTTCTTTACTTCTTTACTTTGCTTCATTCTCTTTTGATTTACTTTACAAGAAAGTTGGTTTTTGTTATCTAATGACTGTTTCTTATTGGCTGTCCCTTCCGTTGTATAACAGTTACACGATTACAGGTTAATATAAATTATAACCAATAGAAAGAGAAAACATGTACCAAAGTAGTAAAAAATCATATTGACTATCGGATGCTTTCCCTCTTCTTTGTTATCTTCAATCCACATATAAATATTAGCAGCTCATGAGATTATTTTCTTGTTAACAAAATGCCAGACCACTTATAAACCCCAACCGTAGTACTACAGTTTAATATTAGGCCCAGGCAATTTTTTTGTTGTTGGACGGACTGCTGTGTAAAGCGTATCAGCCAATCGTAACATAGTGATGTTATAGGAGATAGAGGAGCTAGCCTGCAATAAATTCTACTGACTCTTTATTGCTAGCATGTATAAAATTTTCGATGACATGCGGTGACGCTTTCGTAGTCGAGTAAGCTGACCCTTGCTACTTTGTAGTAAATTTTCGTAGACAAGTTTGCACCACCCATTATTCACCGATGTGATTTGTGGGTGGGGAGAATACAACGGGTGTGATATATCTTACCACCATTTTCACACTTCATTTGTATCAAGTCGGGTTTACATCCTGAAGAAGACCGAGCCATGCAATGCAGGTACAATGAACCCGGTGCTATTATTCTTCTAAAAAATAAAATGTCTTTTGTGTGTGTGTTTAAAAGAGAGAAATGGGAGGGTAATATGTATTGAACACACAAGTAGTATTCCCATTGTATTCATGAATCAATTATTCTTATTGTTATCCTTTTAGCTTTTTCGTCTGCTTCCTGCTAATTAGTCCTATTTCTTTGATATAATGAGAGTAATATCAATATTTCCATCAATATGACTATATTGAGAGCTGCTTGTATCACACATCATATCATTAGATATATTGATCGTGCAGATATTAGTCTATTGGATCAAACTCGTATCACTTGGGTCTGTATAAAATAAATGGATCAAAAAGAACTTGTGTGTGGCAGCTAGAGACAAATAATATCTAATATTCCCAGAGATATTACAAAGCTGTCCTGCGCATAGATGATCAAGTCAGTACCTCAATATATATATATATATATATACAGTCTGAGAAAAAAACGTTTCACATTCTAGCATGCTATTTGGACCTCTGCTTTATAACCTATATTTTATATTTCTCGACATCTTAAAAAAGTAATTAACAAATCTACCATAATGCCAAACGCACAAAAGAATAACCCTCATGGGCCCTATAACGTCCCTTAAGATTTGACGAGATCAAAAATCCTTGGTCTTCAACTTGATGGAAATAATGCTGCCAGAATTTCAGTCAAGCTGGATGTACCCAAATCAACAGTTCGATATTTTTTTAAAGAGATATAAAGAAAGAAAAACTACTGATAACAGAAAAACTTCTGGAAGACCACAGCTTCTCACACCTAGAGATAAAAGACGTATTGTCTCGAATATCAAAAAAGACAGGTGGTCAACTTTGGATGATCTTGCTGATGATGCTAGTGTTGACACGGGAAAGAATGTCAGCAAGGTTACCATGCTTAAAGCTTTACACAACATGGACTTTTTTTGCCGTAAACCTGTGTCAAAGCCTTTTCTTACCAAGGCACACATTGCCAAACGTCGAGCTTGGTACAAAACCGTGCAAGACTGGAATAAACGGTGGGAAACTGTTATCGGGAGTGACGAGTTGGTATTTGTACTATATAAGAAGAGTTCAAACAGAAAGCTCTGGCGCCAAGCTGGTGAGAGATTTGGTACGGATCACTTTGTTCCGAAGGTGCAAGAAAACGGTGGATCGGTTATGGTCTGGGAGTGTATCTGGTCAGGACGACTTCGTCCACTTGTTTTTGTAGATGAAAACATGGATGGTCCAAGATATGTAGAAGTTCTTTGAGATCATTTTCTTTCATTTTTGCATGCTCTTCCTGTACATAGCAGCGGTGGCTACACCTTCCAGGAAGATAATGCCAGAGCTCATGAATCGAAAGTTGCAGGAAAGTTCAAAAAGAACATGGTATTGATGTTTTGGAATGGCCACTCAACAGCCCTGGCCTTAGCCCCATCGAGAATATACGGGGAATCATTGATAACAGAATTAGAGCAAGACGCCCTAGACCAAATTCTCTGAATGAGCTGAAGGCTGCTTTGTTGGAAGAGTGGAACAAAATATCAGCAAAAACTTGTAGAAGATGCTGCTTGAATATGCCAAATCAATTGGTCTTAAGAAAAGAAATTTAAACAAATTAGCTATTAAAGCTGTATCTTTTTTTTTTACATTATTAATATATATATGTCTTTCACTTTTTATTCTTCCAAGTATTATATTTCAATAGGTACTGTGCATCTTTATAAATGAATTTGAAGCTGTGATATCTTCTTTACCATTCATGGTGGATGTTAAAATGGGCGAAACATTTCTTTTCGATACTGTAAAAAAGGTTCAAGAAAGCAATAATTTATGTCTTATATGTATTTAAATATTGGCAAAAAAATAAATCCATGAAAGTTTAATGTAATATGTGTGTGGGTGTCAATGTAGCTATATGGCGATAGTTGAGATAGATCTTTGCTGTTCTCTATAAGTATCAGCTATCTGGATTGACTATTTATACTTTATTCTTTGCACATAGACCCAGTTAATGAAATGCATTTAATGTAATACTGTTGGAGTATAACGTTTTGGACTGTACTATTTTATCGTCCCAAGTTTATATTATAAAAGCGTTAACGCGTTTAACTCGAATGACCAAGAGACTCTTCCGTGGATCTCTTTTTCAGAAGAAGAAGAAAAAGCTATTATATGGTCTCTGCAATCAATGTATATATATATATATATTGAGGTACTGACTTGATCATCTATGCGCAGGACAGCTTTGTAATATCTCTGGGAATATTAGATATTATTTGTCTCTAGCTGCCACACACAAGTTCTTTTTGATCCATTTATTTTATACAGACCCAAGTGATACGAGTTTGATCCAATAGACTAATATCTGCACGATCAATATATCTAATGATATGATGTGTGATACAAGCAGCTCTCAATATAGTCATATTGATGGAAATATTGATATTACTCTCATTATATCAAAGAAATAGGACTAATTAGCAGGAAGCAGACGAAAAAGCTAAAAGGATAACAATAAGAATAATTGATTCATGAATACAATGGGAATACTACTTGTGTGTTCAATACATATTACCCTCCCATTTCTCTCTTTTAAACACACACACAAAAGACATTTTATTTTTTAGAAGAATAATAGCACCGGGTTCATTGTACCTGCATTGCATGGCTCGGTCTTCTTCAGGATGTAAACCCGACTTGATACAAATGAAGTGTGAAAATGGTGGTAAGATATATCACACCCGTTGTATTCTCCCCACCCACAAATCACATCGGTGAATAATGGGTGGTGCAAACTTGTCTACGAAAATTTACTACAAAGTAGCAAGGGTCAGCTTACTCGACTACGAAAGCGTCACCGCATGTCATCGAAAATTTTATACATGCTAGCAATAAAGAGTCAGTAGAAATTTATTGCAGGCTAGCTCCTCTATCTCCTATAACATCACTATGTTACGATTGGCTGATACGCTTTACACAGCAGTCCGTCCAACAACAAAAA